AAGTATAAGTTCAAAAATTTGTTAACTTAATACTTACGAAATTAAAGTTTTTACAACATTTAGAGTCTATATTAATTTATTTTTCATATTTAAAAAACTTCAACTTAAAATTAAACGCACACAAATTCCTTAAATTTTCATGTTAATTCTCCAAACAGATTTGAAACTTAGCATTGAATAACTACAGAACACTATAAACAACTGAAGATTAACGGAATTATTTTCCTGCTTTTATTATTTAAAATTCATTCAGCCTGTTGCTTGCAAAAGCGGAGGCAAAATTCCTCTCACTCTCTTTTTATCTTGGGCGCATGTTCGATTGAAATTACAATTCGCAGGTGCCTTGCAAGTGAAAAGCGCCGCTATTGTCCTCGCCAAGTGGCCGTGTGGGCGCACGTGGGCAGCGAAAAGTCGAGGCACACCTACCTCATGGGCATTGCTAGGCCCATTTAAGTCCTCGTACGCGCTTTCGACGAGGCGGACGAATCAGCTCGTCCAACTGGGCAGCCGCTTTTGGAGCATTTTTATTCCGGAATTAAATTATGTATACGTGTATTTTTTGAAATTTTTATTCGCGGTTGCTCTGCGGAACGGTTCTGTTCCCGCGAAACAAGGCGACGACTGTTGTCGGAACAGAGCGGCGTATTCATCGTCCCGGCCCGGCAGAGGATCTCGTTTCCCTTTGCTTTTTGTATGCGCGCCATAAAAATATTAAAATACACGTAGCAGATAAGGAGGAATTCAGAGTCTCGAGAGAAATGCAGCGCAAACGAAAGATGAGCGAGCGAGCACATGTGCCACTCTGGAATAGAGAAATAAGCCAGACGCGCCGAGAGAACGCAATGTGTGAAAAAATTGGGGGTGGTAGCAAATGTTCTCGAAAATTACACATACAAGCGCAGTCACAAGCTGGAAAGCGAGTCCATAAACTCACAATTATTGCTCCAAACTCCAAACAGAATGATCCTAATTTTAAGTTAAAGAAAATGACTTCATAAATAAAGTTTGAAAATGAAATAAAATACAATCATTTCAATTAACTTGAATTTAAAAAGTAAAAAAAAGTACTAAATTTAATCCAATATTAAAAGTATTTAAAATTAAAAAACATTCAACTAAAAAAACTAAACAATTTCGACAGTAAATATGTAATCAGTTAATTAGATTGGCTAATATAATTTAAAATTATTATATTAGCTTCAAGTTTTTATTTAGGTTTTCTAAGTGATTTTGAATTTTAAATTTGAAAAACGATTTGAATTATTTAAAATTAGTCTGCAGAATTTCAGTTTTTTTAATTGACCATTTACAAAGTTGAATTTATATAGTATGAAGTGAATTTTAACCACGGTGAATGTTCTAAATCCCTGGTTGACCTCTTGATTTATATAGTGACGAGAATATGAAAAAGACTGCCCATTTAAGTTTTAAACGGTAATGCCAGAAATTTCACTTCTTCTGATATTACAAATTACCATGTAATTTGCACAGTTGAAATTCTTTCCTCATCACATAATTACTGGCTACGGAATGTCTCTCGTGACCAATCCTGGATTTTTGTCATCATATATTTGGCCAAATTGTCGTCGGCACGCTCGTTTCTCCAAACCCAAGACGCAGATTATTGCACATAATTTTGGCGCTCGGGACTGAGATGCGCATGTCCGCAAACAATGGGGTTTGCCTACTAAAAGCTGCGTTGATCTGGAATCTCAAGTCACGCGTAGTGACCCAAATTGCTTTATGGCACCGTCGCGTCTAATGGGGCGTGGGTCAGTCAGTCCGACGGGTCATTATGGCCAATGTATGGGGGCGGCTGTAAAACGTTGGAAAATGAAGCCAGATGGTCGGAGAAATTTTCGAATCAACCGACCGAACGCTTAACATTCAAGTCGCGCCTCACTCGAGCTCAAGCTTATCAACAAATTTCCATAATTGGGTTTTAAAAGGCGCTGTCGGCGGCGGATGCTTTGCCGGACTGATTAAACAAATTCGAGTTTTGTTTATTATAGAAAGTTCCCTCGTTGCAGGTTCCAGGCAGGAAGAGAACTTTTGATGTGTACGAATTGCAAAATTCAGCAACGAGCGCAATTTTTATTCCAAAACAACGCAGAGGGGAGCCGATTTCCTGTGGCCATTAGAAAAATGCGCACATGCCTGCATTGAACGCGGAATTGAAATTTAAAAACACTTTCCGACCAGCAGCTCGACAACAAACGCCAGACGCAGCAATTTATTCTTTGGGTTTTTACATTTGAGCAATAAATAAAAACGTTTGCACTTCCGAGTAAATTTTGCTGCAAAAATGAATAATTAAATTATAATCTTGGTGAAATTTGCCACAAAAGTAGTAAAAAAGTTAGTTTGAATTTAGCTTTTTTTAAACACAAGATGTTTCTTTTTTCTGTGAAAATTTGAGACAAATGAAGACAGGCAGCGATCGGGGGCAGAGGTGTGGAAATGCAAGTCGGAGCAAAAGTGGCGCTGGGCAGATGCGAGTTGGTTCGTTCGTTCGTTCCACCGGCGCGTCTATTTCGGGTGCCGCGGCAGCCGCCTAAATTAAACGTGCAGGGCGCCCGCCGTCCGCACACAAGTTAGTTTTCATAAAGTTCCATCTTGCCGTGCCACCCTCGCCGCTCCAAAAGAAGCGGAAGCGCCGCTATGTATGAGGGGCACGTGCCTTTAATTTGACAGAATTAGAGATTCTTCCCCCAATTCACGCAACGCACACGCAATCCCGCACCCGGCATTCCACGACAATGCAGAACAACAAAACAAATGCACACTGCACGCGAGACAGGGTAATTCGATTAAGCGTCAATCAAACACGGAGGAAGCGTTTGAATGAAAGCCGAGCTACGCCCAAAATGTTAAAAAATAAATAATATTATAACGTGAAAAGGTATACATAAATAATTGTTTTCAATTTCAGCTTTTTACGTGGTTCCACTGAAACTGTGCAACAAAAACTTGGCTTTAAAGAATGGAATCCAAAATTTTGACTTAAAATTGAGAAACTTTTAAATGACTCAAAATTAATATTTTTGTGTCCTTTTGTGTCCCAAAAAAATTAAATAAAACTTGAATTAAATTAAAAAAATAAAAATTAGGGCAAACTGACCGATTTTTGTTTATGATTTTGAGCTGGAGACAATAACAAAAACATTAATTCACCAAAATGATTGGCAACAATAAATTTTAATTGCGTTCAGCCAGAAGGAAAAATGAACGAACGTTTGATAATCAGCTACGCAGGATGCATTTGGTAAACATAAATATTTCATCTCAAGAGCAGGCGCCAAAGTTTGGGGTCAGCGAACCTATAGATTAGATTAATTTTCCTTCCGGAATTCCAATTCGTCCAACGCAACGACCTTGTGGGCAGGAGGTAAATTAATTGAATTATGACGTGACTCACAAATGACTCAAGTGTCGATTTTGCGACTTCCGCCTCGCTTCAGCATAAGAAGTGTGACTTATTGTTTATTGAATTAGCTGTGAGCCTGAATACTTATATACACATTCAAAAGAGAGAAAACTGAAAGTAATATAATAATTATTCGAAATTCAATTAAATAATATAAATATTTGAATAAATAAATGAAAAACTATTTGATTAAAAACAATAAAAATTTCAAAAGGAACAATTTTTAAATTAATCTTGCTTGCCACATTTTGTTTGGTCATCATATTTTCTTAATTTTTTTGTCCAATACGCACGTGAGATTATTGAGCTAATTGCCCTGATACTTTTAATACGCCTACGAATCAGATCGGTCATTGATCCCTTTTAATTTGATCCTTCAGACGGCCTACGCCAGAGTTATAAGCCGATGATCCGCACAAAGTTAACGCTCCGACAATCCTCTCTTCGCAAAGGTGAAAGCTGCCTGTCTGTCCTCAGCATCGCCTTGCCTAATAACAGGCTGCAGATGGTGCCAATAATTGCCAGTTTCCACTGTGCCGAGGCCGCGTCCATCAGCCGAGCGGCCCTTCCGCCCACGCTTATCAGCCGAGGCGCCCTTATCGGGGTCCGGCCGTCGACAGGGCGCGCCCAGATGGGCTTCGGCCGAGCAGATGGTCCAGCCAGAACTCACAACAAACACCGCGCAAATGTGGCACACTGACCTCGCAGCTGTGTGCGTTTTTCTAGTTGGCGCCTACGATCCAAAGGAAAGAAACACCTCTGCGAAGGATTATCTGTCACAATATTGGACACTAGTTGGATTTTATGCAAAGCGCTCGCTCATATGCATAGTTTTTTTTTTTAAGAAGTCAATTCAGGTTCCGAATAAAATTTGAATAAATGTTCATATGGAAATAAAAATGTACTTTTGCACCTTTAAAGATTGATTGTGAATAATTTGATTGATATATTAATCAAACTGGGGGATTAATCTAATCAATTTATATTCATCGTTTATTATTTTTAAACGATTGATTAAAAAACAACTGATAATTATTTAAAGATGAGTAAAAATTGGCGACAAAATATTGATTTGCTTCATCGCAACGTTTTAATTTTCAATTGTTTTTTCCTTATTCTTTCACTTTTCTTTCTTATGTTTTTTTTTCAAAAGTACATTATTAACCATTTTAATTAATCAGACAGATCTTTTAATTTCTGTTCAACTATTCTTGTTCAAGCATTAATTTAATTGATCTAAAATTAAATAAAAAATATTTGTCTCATTTAAATTTAAGAAACACACCCAGACTGTGAATTATTTTCATAAAAATTTCATCAAAACGTGTGGAAGATTTCTCTCGCGACGTTTTCAATTTAAATTTAATGGCAACAAAAATTACCATCGACCTTTTCAGTGCGTGATCAAGGTCACTGTCTAGCTTGTTGCATTGCAGAATAAAATAACGAGCAAAATTTGCTGATATTTATAAAATGATCTCGAAAGTAATTTCTATTTTTAGATCTTTCCGAGTCTGGACCTTTCGTCCCGAATGAAAAAAAAAAATTGTGTTAATTTCAGTTTTTCACTCACCCAAATCCTCGACGAGTCGCAGCATCACTCCTCCGATGTGCAAATCACCCTTGACCCGCAAGGTGCGCTCCATTTCGAGGTCGGTGACGAAGACCCGCAGGTTCCACGAGCCGTCGCCCACGACTTGGCCGTTGGACATCATCCTGGAGGTGGTCGGTTCTTCCTCTTGGTCCTGGTGGAATTTGCCAACCGGAGTCCACGGCGCCGAACTCACAACTTGGCCATACTTGGCCTTGCCGAAGTTGCTGAAGTGATAACGTGCCAGGTCGCCTCTCGCTCTTCCTTATCAGCCGAGCAGCGATAACGTCGTCGCGATCACCACGACTGGCGAGCCGAATTTCGGGCCGAATCTGAGTTCAGGCGGGAGACCTTCCGGTCGTGTCGGCTGCTTCTTGGCTTGTGTTGCTCGAGTTCGAAGCGCAGCATGGAACGGCGGCAACGCAGCGCACACTCACGCCGCTCGCTTCAACCTTGCCCGAAATCCTCTGAGTCTGCTTGATGACGTCAACGGGCCGCCGAATTTCGCGTCGTCCACCTAGAATTTGGCATTTGATCATTGACGGCCAGTCCGAAAACGGCGGATTTTCGGCGCGTCTCGGCAAAAGAAGCGGCCAAACAGACACCTTACCGATGCATTACGTGTGCAGTCACTTTGCCTTATAAGGCGAATTCAAGAAAAAAACAAGTGCATGCTTGCATACGTCATACGGATGGTTGAAAGAATTCCATTTCTATTCGATCTTGCGCAAATTGTTGATCTTGCGGTAAAACAAGCAGATTTCACCTGATAGGTGGCAGCACGGCATGAGCACCATCAAGGCTGGATAGCCAATAGCAACGCGAGATTCACTACAGCTGGGTTTGTTTACATTTTTGTTGAGTAAAGAAAGGACTCAATGCTATTTTATGTTACTTTTAATATTCCGAAGGTTTTATCAAACAACTGAAGTAGGTGAATGGTAAAAATGAACTGTTTAAAATTTAATTAGATAATTATATTTAGAGAGAGTTATTTTTTAATGCTTAAAAACATTCTTTATTCCTTTATATCTAACTCCTTTTCGAACACCCCTAAATGAAAAGCAAGACCCGATTTTGATTGTTCGGCAACACCACGAAAATTAATGTGATAACTGATTTTATTTGGAGAAAAATTGCAAACCTTTGCATACAATTTTCCTAGCATCAGGCAGGTAAATTTTATTCAAATCGAAAATAACAACAAAAGATATTTTAAAATTATTATTAATGTTGTCTGTTTAGAACACTCTGAACAGGGCCGTTTTATGTTTATTCTGTTTATATTTTAAACGATTAAATCAAATAATTCTTTCTCAACCGCTTTATTGGACTTTTGTATTTCTTTTTATCTTGGCAATGTTGCCGACGTACAAGTTAACATTTTAATGAGTTTTTAGTTTTTATATTACATAACACGATTCTATTATTTCTATATACTTATTTTCTGCTCACTTTCCAGGTATTTCAAGATGAGACTGCCTATACTCCTGAACAGATCTGGATTCACCCAACTCCTTCGAAAATCGTTTTCGACACAATTTCAGTCAACTCCATTCATTTTGGAGAAACTTGCCCATCGATGTGTCATAAGAGTGTCTGGTGACGAAGCGTTGCCCTTCCTACAGGGTCTGATCACCAATGACATGCGCCACTTGGAGGAAGGAGCCCCCTCGATGTACTGCATGTTCCTGAATACCAAAGGCCGAGTTATCTTTGACTCGATCATCTACCAAGAAAACCAAGGCAGCTTGTTAGTGGAGTGCGACACAAGGGCTGAAGTCCAGCTGAAAAAACACTTAACAGTGTACAAAGTGAGAAGAAAAATTGTGATCGAGTCGTGCGGATTTCCTGTCTACGGAGCCTTCGGAGACAACGCAGAGGAGTCTGTGCAAAAACTGACCAAAGGAAATGAAAATCTAGTCGCCTGTCGAGACCCAAGAGTCAAAGAACTTGGGTTTAGGATCATTGCCAGAAACGGCGAACTTGAATCGACTGAAGAGCAAAACTACAAACGTCTACGATTTAGTCTCGGAGTTGGGGAAGGAGTGGAGGAGCTGCCGTCCGGCAACTGCTTTCCAATGGAGGCCAACTGTGACTACATGCACGGCGTCAGCTTCCACAAAGGGTGCTACATTGGCCAAGAACTGACCGCCAGGACACACCACACAGGAGTAGTGAGGAAAAGACTGATGCCACTGTTCTTCGAGCCCAGGAAAAGTCTTCCGGCGCTGGAATCGCCAATATTGGACCCGCAGGGTAAAAATGTTGGGAAGTTGAGAGGATTGTGTGAATCTGGGGTGGGAATTGCTTTACTCAGGGTCACTGAAGCGCTCAGGTCGGCCGACAACTTGCAAATTGGCGACCTGAACGTAAAAACACACAGGCCGCAATGGTGGCCGTCGGAATTGTCAAAAGATAGACCTGAATTTTAGGTAAAATACAATTTTGAGATTTTAATCACAAATCAATTTTTGATTTTTCATATAATTAATTTTATAATCCTATAAACGATTTCTTTGGCTTGGCGATTAGAAGAATTTGAACTGGAAAAACTGAAACAGCCTTCTTCGCAAATAGTTTCGTTCCCAGCGATTCACACAATTGATGCGGCCGTTGATTCTCTGCTTGTTCCATTCAATAGCTGTCCCGATTATGTCTGATCCTCGGTAAAAGTCGACAGCAACCACATTTGCCGTTTGTCCCCACGATCCTTGGTACCAGGTGGTGACGTTCCTGTTCACCGAATCAGCCATTTTTCTCAAACCGCCAAGTTCGTCCGTCACCACGTCCCAGGCGGTCGGGGTCAGTTCGGCCATTGCTGACCAGGCACTCAATAGAGGAGGATTACTGTTTAAGCCTTATAAATCAGAATTAAGAATCCTGCAGCTTTTTTCTAAAATTTAATTTACTTGAAAGGTAGGCAAACAAATCCTCAGTAGTGCGGACGTTGCCCCACTTATGATCCACTCGTCTCCAAATCCACGGGTACGCGTTCACCATGTCCGTGTCATCATACGAAATAATTATCCTTCCACTTGCCATCAAATCACTAATCTTTGAGTTCCAGTCTAAAATTTGGATTAAATTATTATTATTTCATTATTTAAAGTTTTTATATCAACCAAAAAGAAGAAATAATAAAATATTATAATAATAATTTAATAATATAATTTAGAATTAAGAAACATTGCAGTATTTTATTTTTTTCTTTTTGCGAAAAAAATTGAGTAAAAATCCCTTTTTTGCAATTTCAATTCAATTCTCGTTTGCAGTGTTATAAAAATAATTTTTTTTTTATTACCACTAGCTCCTCGGGGAATGATGTAATTAGAGAATTCCTGTTCCAAAAATTGAACCAATTTGTGGTGTATGTCGATGGAGGTAAATCCGTTGGGGAATTCCTGGACGTCGAAAATGACAATCTCCTTTTCCGTGTTGGCCAGAAACTCTTTGACTTGTGCAAGAACCTTTTCGAGGCGGTGCATTTGGAAAGCGCCGTGGTTTATCCAAAAGCCGGACACGTTTTCAGCTCTTTGCGGTCTACAGCGAGGGAATTGGCATAAGATGGAGTGGGAAAAGAAATCCAGAAATTTGCTGTTGACAAAACACAACCGACACGAACATGCAACTTATTTGTAAAAAGGAAATATTTGGCGTTAGAATAATATTTTGCTCTAAAATTTTCCGTATTTTTACTAAAAGCAAAGCAGGCAATAAGAAGAAACGCACATAGGAAAAAAAATTAAATTAATTTCCACCAACCCGTAATAGCCAACTCGGATATCAAGATAGCGCACGCCTCTAATCAATTGGGCCAACAGGTCTTCGTCCTGGGTGACGGTGTACTTGATAACGAGGGTGTCGCCCAAAATAGGGTCGTAATTGCCATAGGCGCCGGAATCGTGCGTGCCAGGAATGAAAATGTCCTTGATGATCTGATCACCGAGACCGGTCATGTCGGCCATCCAGGTCGGCTCGATTCTCAAACAACCGCTGGCCAAGACCTGACCACCACTTGAAACGTAGCCAATGTGATAATCTGTCTCAGATTATGATTGAATTAATTATTTTCTTAAAAACAAAAATAATTAAAAAAAATACTTAAACACCGTGAAACAAATCCAAGCTCGGAGCTATTTGTTGCAAAATTTTCCACCATAGTTTTGGTCACGTAAAATCCATCGGATCCCGATGAGGGATTCAAATCGAGCCTCTCCAAGAAACTTGTAACTCCGGAGGTGACCGGGTCTGATGCAAATATTCCAATCCATTCGCCATCACTGGGAGTAGCGCCCACCCAGTTAAGTTCAAGTCGGTTAACAATGGAATTGTTAGCGATTGAATTGACTGTCAGGAAGACATGGAGGCCAGCTTTGCACTCTCTGCTGGCTGAAATTAAAGTTTTTTTTTTACAATTTTGAAAGATTTTATTAATTTCACTTACGGTGGACCGGAGCAGAATTTATATTAGGCACGGCGAGAAGCAAAATTGAAACCACGGCTAATCGGACCATCATTTTATTGGCTCTGAAAAACTTATGGAGAATTTTTTTTGAAGTATGCAGTTTATCTTTAAAATCTTACAAGACTGATAAATCACAGAAAGTTTGTTGTCAGAATTATCTCCATGCAAAATATGTTGAAGATTGGACACCTTTGTGGTGCACCACCACACGCTATCGCCACTTGAAGAGCTCTTCGCTGTTGACCGACGCGCGCTCTTATACAGAGAATATCGCTCGAACTTGTGGACTTTTTTAAACCGTCTTTTTATCTCTTATCTTTAACTGTTTGTAACAAAGGAAGAAGTTTCAAAACAATATTAACAACAGCAGCGGAGAATTAACATAATAAAAAATTATGTACAAAATATTTCAATCCAAATTTACCTATTTAAAATTCGTCTAAATTTGCGCTCCCCAGCATTAGTTGCGAATCTGCATGAGAAGCAGCCAGTTCTCGCGACCAGTGATCCTTTGCTTCTGCACGCAAATGTAATACGTAGCGGCAGAGGCGGTGGCCGAGCGAGATGACCTCGTAACACACTTCAACATATTATCCAGTGTCAAAATAAATACACAATGCCAATCTCGCCTCAAAATGATGGGATGGTACATTATATGCGATTTGTGCGACGGGCCCTTTTTATAGAGTGGCATGCTTAGCAGAGGATAATAATGTGGACCCTCGTTAGGTTTAATTTTAATCTCGCCGACAACATTTTATATTATATACGCAGCTTTACGCTTTCATCGCCGCAATTCTCACAACAATAATGATAAATAAATAATTCATCAGCGTTGTTCATGACCTTACAACGCATGGCCGGGCAATGTCCAATTCAATAAAAATGTCTGAAATTTCCTAGAAATTAGGAATTTTGCAAAAAATATATAAAAGTTGCTAATTTATTAGTTTAAGTCGTCTCTCAATAATTCATTCTGAGGATTTTAAAATTAGATAGTTCTGATGATTCAAGGAATGCACAAAATGTTCTGATCTGTTTCATCTGTTAATTATTTTGATTATGTTTCGTAAATGTCACCGGAAATGCGGGTTAAGTAATGGTGGCCAGATACAATTATAATGACGTCAGAAACTTCTTTTTTTGTTCTTGGCAAAAATTACTTCTAACTTCTAACTGGTATTTAGTTGATTTTCACACCCGTCGATGTGAGTTTTTTGAAAAACTTTTGCATTTCTAACCATGACTCATTTTTTTTCAAGTGTAGAAATTAGTGCAGTGCTTTATTACTGATCAATTTGGGTCAATTTATCACAATATATTATATAGTTTCATACATAATTAATTCACATTTCATGAGCTATATATGAATATTTTATATCATTTTATATATGTTGATTTAATGCTAGCAATTAATTCTTGTAAGTTTTTAATAGCATATTATCTGCTCAGGGAATTCCTGTTCCTACTCAGAAAAATTTTTAAACCGCATAAAGGTTTTTTGCTATGATAAATTATTAGGAAATATTTATTGAGGAGTCACCGTGTGAAAAACAAGCATACAATTTTAAGTTATTTATTTAAAAAATTTATGATATCATCAAATTATGATTTAAGTCTTTGACCAAAAAGAATCTCTAATAAGTTGCAACTTTTATTATTATTTATTGGGATATAAATTATTTTTTGAAAAGTATTATGGGAAAAATATATGATGAAATTTTATTTTTAATTTTTCAATGTGATAAGAAAATTAAAAACTAATTTTAATGACAGGTAATTAAAAAAAAAACGAACCAAACGAACACTTGATTTTTATTTCATCCTTCTTTGACACCGGCTACATAATTGCAAATTGCGGTGCCTTTCAATTAATTACTTTAATTACCGGCGAATTATAAAAAGAGAGCTCTGTTTGCTTTGCAGATTACTTTGGGCGCTCACCACCAGGAGGAAAAAATTCGCATAGTACAAGAAAGAAAAAGAACAGCAGCCGCCTGAGCCGCCGAGCCGCGCAGCTCTCATGACTCGTGACTCATTGTCGATCGGATTGCTTAGCAAAATCGTGCAGGCGCAAACACGAGAGGACGGAAGAGGTGGTGGAGTTTTGAAGGAGGAAATTGATTAAATTGAGCCGCAAAACTTCAATCAGACGGACAATTCAATCTCGATTTGCGCCGCAAGTCCTCATCACTGCGTCTCACTTCGACATCAGAGATTTTTATGTGTGCTCGTTGAAACTATCTTCGTCTCACCAGGAAGATTTCTGCAGGTATGCTATTCATAATGTACTTTTTAGGAATTTCAATTTCGATTTTATTTGTTATTTCGTCCGTCAAAATCATTGCACGAAATCGCTGCAGTTCGAGTGCGCTGGGTCCCGGCTTCGTTTATCTTATAATGCTCGCTCATTTTAGAGAAAAACTCGTGTTTTAGGACTTTTTCATGGCGAATATTTGTTTATTTTTTCATTTTCATCTTGAAATTTACTATTAATTTGCCATAATGAGCAATTTTATGACAGAGACGCCAAGAAAAAGAGGCACCAGCGTCAGTATCGCTTTGGTACTTCCCCAGTTTTTATACAAAACACCATACATAATTTATGAATAACGCGATCCAGCGTTTAGTTTTGACACAAGGAACAATTTTTTTTACTCTTTATTACTGATAAAAAGAATACAAAATTTAATTTAATATCACTGAGAGGATTATTTAAAAAAAATTTAATTTTTTGAAATAAATTTTCCGGATAATTTCATTAATTACTAAAGCTATGCATCGATCAATTATTACAGAAGTTGATTCTTGAATTATATCATATTTGTATGTAATTAATAAAATGAATTTCAATTATGTATTGCGATTTCACATTGCTGACCCCACTGCAATAATTATTATTTCAAGGAATAGGACAAAATTATTAAATTGAACCATATTTTTATAAATTGTTATCTTTACTTTCAAATCTTTAAAATAACCTTTAAAAAAATTATTTCATAACTAATTAAATAACAATAAGAAATTACAAAGCAAACCTGATTTATGATACCTAATTTTGAATTCTTACAATTATTATAGTGCAAGTTTTACAAAAATATGTGTTGTATATTTTGTATCAAAATAAATTCTGTAAAAGATGAAATATTTGAACTTATTAATAATTTCTTGATTAAAAATTTCAATATTAAGTACTAAATTTTCAAAACAATCTAAGAAAATTAATGTAGCATTAACAATATGCGCAAAATTAAATTCATAATTTTAAGCAACTGATAACACATTTGCATAATTTGGTAATGCACCAAATTTGTCGCTGCCAAAAGCATACTCAAGAATAAAAGTCATATCTTTTAGTCGTTATTTTTAACCATCTCTGATTTGCAACTGTTAACTGTGATTCATCGTAAAATTTATAATAAATTAATTCACCTCATGATAATTTGGCCACTTAAAAAGAAATATATTTCATAATTCTTCCTCAATCTGTTGCACATAAATTATGTTATTAATGAACAAATCATCAACTGTAATTGTGCTGAAATTATGGAAAATGCATGGAGTGATAATAATTTTTCATTTATTCTTTTTAGGTAGAAAATATGGAGGAGGATGAGAATCCAACATTTTTGCCACCAGCCCCAAGGCGGAGACTAGAAGGAAATAATGCAGCAGGAACATGGAGAGCTCAGGCAGCAACCTTGAGCGCTCTCAACCTGGATTCATCCGATCAATCAAGTGATGCATCTAGACCAGCCTTTCGCCCTTCGCAGCATCATTCTGCTAGAGGTAGCAGGGGCAGGGGCCGCGGAGGTTAGTAAAATTTAATCTCCGATAATAACATAACCATATTAAAAATTGATTTGAATTATGAATATTATCGTGATTAGCTTTTTACAGAATAATTTTAAAAAAAGGTTATTTATGAGAGGTTTTGTAAATAAAGTTTATATTATGTGAATTGGTCACCAAATTTAAAATTTCAATGTACATACTTTCAAAAAAAGTTTCCTCTTTCATTTCTCTAGATGAATGTGTCCAATTCCATTTATGATCTATTCTGATAAAATTGTTCTTTTTGTTGCAGGATTTGGAAGTTTTTCAAGAGGCTCATCGGTGCCAAGAGATTTTCAAAGCAGAGGCAATTCCCATCAGGCAAGATTTGACCAAAATTTTGTTGAAACTCTTCAAGAGCTGGTTGACCTACCAAGTTCTCAGGTACATTTTACTCTCAAATTCATAAAGTATGCAACCTGCAAGACACGTGTGTTTTGCGGGTTAGCATCCATTGCAATGCAAGGGGCTAAATTTGTTATTTTATTATTCTTAAAAAGAATTAGTTGACGAAAGTAAAGAAAAATATTAATGCTTCTTTTTTATAAACTCTAGGTCGTAAGCAAACTTGCTGGAAAAAGTGATCAATGGGATGAATTCGTCAAGGGAGACCTGACTCTGTCCAACTTTCAACTTGTTCTTCGAGTGCTCCGAAAAGTGTGCGAGTCGGAATTTGACAAACACAAGGCCATGCTGGTGAATCAAACCTGTCATCCTGATTTCCTGAACTGTTTTCCCACAATGTTGCTGAACGGTTCAATGCAAGACAGCTCTACTTTTACACAGGTGGCGGAAAACATTGCACTTTTCTTCACGACTCTAGTGACCATGCTGCCAATCACAGCATCAGGACTTACAAAAACGGTCCAGTGCTGTTTGCTTAGTCTAAGTGGCATCAGCAATCAGGATTCTGTGCCAGTTTCATCAGAGTTATTGGAAAAATACAAAATTTTGCTTGGAGACATTGAAGCTCTGCAAGTGAATGCTCCTAAGAAGCAAACTTTCCATGACCGGCGAAAGGAGCAAGTGGAAGAAATGAAATATGAGCAGCCACCTAATGACTTCAGGGAAATCAGCATCTATCCAACATACGAAGATATTGTCAACCCAGAAAAGCCTTTTTTGAGACCCAATGTGATCGACGGGGCCTACTTCAATGTTGATCACTATCTAGACGTTCAATTCCGTCTATTGAGAGAAGATTTTGTCAGACCTCTCCGAGAAGGTGTGCAGGGCATCCTGAAGGGCACCGTCAGCAGGAAATGTGAATCGTTGTCAGTAAGAGTCTACAAGGATGTGCAGTTTCTGGAGTATGTGAGAGAAGTTAAGGGAGGTAGAGTGGTCAGTGAGGGCACTTTGCTATGTTTTGATACGTCAAATGGAAAGCGCTCACAAAAAACAGACTGGGAGCAGACAAAGAAGTTCATGCATGGCGCCCTTCTTTGCTTCACGCAAAACTGTTTCCAGACGCTCCTCTTTGCCACAGTCAGCAGCCGTGAAGTCAAGTTCCTAAAGCAAAGACAAATCTTGGTCAAATTTTGCCAGAATTACAAGGAAAACGTTTTTGATAACAATGCAAAGTATATGATGGTTGAGAGTGAAGTTTACTTTGAGCCATACTATCAGGTAACTTATTATTTTTGTTGCACAATTAAAGAAAACAAAAATTAATGGATTTGAATCACTGTGACAGGTGTTACGATCTTTGAAAAGATTATCTTCCTGGAACTTCCCCTTCCCCGAGTATTTTATTGATGTGGAAATACATGATGATCCTCCAAGATATTTACTGGAAAATGAGCCTAATGTTCAGATTGAAATTGAAGGTGCGAAACGGTCACACCAGGTAACAATTTTAAATGAAGCAACCTGGCCAAGTGCCCACCAACTGGGCTTGGATGATTCCCAATACGAAGCCCTAAAAGCTGCCTTGACTAAAGAGCTCGCTGTGATCCAAGGGCCACCTGGAACTGGCAAAACCTTCATGGCTTTAAAGATTGCTGAAATTCTGATTCTAAACAAAATTGCCATGAATAGGAAAACTCCTATTCTTGTTGTCTGCCTCACAAATCATGCCTTAGACCAGTTCTTAGTTGGAATGCTTAAGTTCACTAAGCGCCTAGTACGCATTGGTGGTCAATCAAAGTGTAGAGAGTTAGATGATTACAATTTGAAGCAGATGTTCATTCCTCGGTCGAGGCCAAAAGATCAATGGTCCATCCGAGAGAAGCTGAAAAATTATTATAACGTTCTGTTAAAACTTGACGAGAACATTGCTGACTTCAGAGTGGCTGTTGAATTGAGAGAAGGAATTGTTATTCCTGATAATCATGGTTATGGAATGAGAAGAATCCCTCCAGTATTGCATTCGAGCATTGTCTCTACATTAGGATTAGACTCTCGCTACTATTCATTCAGGGATTTAAGAAGGGAAATAAAGCATTATTGGACGGAAAAATGCCTCGAGGAAATTAAAATGAATGAGCATATTTCACATGAGAGCAAACAGTTCTACACCCAACAAGTTATAGAGCAGGGCCAATATTTTACCAATATGATCAGCTATTTGGAAATGGGTGCTGCTGAAGTTGATGCTGATTTGAGTCGAGGAAAGAATCTTGCTGCATCCAATAGCTGGGCTAAACTAAGAAGCACGAATATTTCTGATCTTTGTGAGCTTCATTACTTTTTTCTTCACCAAGTGATGTTGGAGCTTGAAGAGCAGAGGACACGGCTCTTACAATGCATCAGCGAAGATAAGGAAATCCTAGATGAGATGCAACTTATGGACAAAATTAATGCACTTGGTGATCAAGATGTCATTGGTCTGACAACCACTGGAGCTGCTAGGCTGCACTCCATGCTGAGCACATTGGGTTGTCAAATTGGTAAAATCTAAAATTATGTTAACAAATATTTTATCAAAGAGTGCATTCATTAGTCATTGTCGAAGAAGCAGCCGAAGTAATGGAATCTCACGTTGTGTCCTGCATCTCAAAACAATGTGAACATCTAATTTTGATTGGTATAAAAGCAGCTTGATTAAATACTTGCTTTGATGAACAATAAATTAATTTTGATAACTCTTTAGGTGATCACAAGCAACTCCGACCAAAGATTTCAGATTACGAGTTGGGAAAGTTTTACAATTTTGATGTGTCCCTCTTTGAAAGAATGGTCATCAATAGGAAAGGGTGCATCACCTTGCAAGTTCAACACAGGATGGCACCCGAGATTGCAAAGCTTCTTGTGCCTACGATTTACAAAACGCTGGAGAACCACCATAGCGTGTATTGCAGACCAAATTTGAAAAGCTTGACCCAAAGGCTTTCATTTGTCACCCATTCTGAACCTGAGCACCAGGTATGGATAACACTTCCAGAGATATTTTGTTGAAGATTTGGTGTAAAGAAATTTATTTACGCCATTATAATTTCTTCCATTCAAAATCTTAACTATAAAGCATTTTTATCTGAATTAAACTAACTAGACCAGAAGTTCATATTTTTTATTAAACTGATATATGAAAACAATTGAATAGAAAAAATATCTATATCCATTTGTTTAATCGTAGTTGATCAACTTTTTTTGTGATGATTTTTGTACAACCATTCAAAATTTATAAACATATAAGTAAAGCCAAAATATATTTTACTCTTGCTGTTTGCAGGACAAGGATAATTCAAGTAGAGCAAATCCTTACGAAGCATCCTTTTTGATTTCTCTCTGCCAACATTTGCTCAAACAAGGTTACGATCCCAACCAAATCACAATGTTGACTACATACAAAGGACAAATGTACCAAATGAAATCGGTAACGTGCCACATAGTTTATTGAAATAATTTTTGAATTTTTTAATTTTTCATAGATGATCAAATCAATTTCGCCAAGTGACGAGGGAAACAAATTAGCCAACGTCCGAGTCTCTGTGGTTGACGACTTTCAAGGCGAAGAAAGCGACATCATTCTCCTCTCACTGGTCAGAAGCAATTCGGAAGGAAGAATTGGTTTTTTGGCAACTGAGAACAGAGTCTGCGTCGCTTTGTCCAGGGCAAAGCAAGGTATGGTCATTATGGGAGACATGGGAATTCTCTCTGCAAAAAATGCAACTTGGAAGAGCGTGCAAAAGTCCATTCTGGATCAAAATGCCTTGCATTCGTCTTTGACGCTTAGGTAAATAATTTATATGTATTTTGCATATCTCGTACCTGGGGGGGATTTTACTGCTTTTTTATTTAACAAATATTAATTTTGGCTATAGATGTGAAGTTCATCCAGACTTCAAATTTGAAGTAAAAAATCCTTCAGACTTCCAACAACTTGCTCCTTATGGCGGCTGCAACCAGATTTGTGAAGACCAGCTTGACTGCGGCCACCCTTGCAATTTTGTGTGCCACTTGATGCAAATCAAGCATGCAGACATTAAATGCGAACTACCTTGTGAAAGGAAATGTGACGCTGGGCTTCACTCTTGCAAACAAAAGTGCTTTGTCGAGTGCGGCTCGAATTGCACGGAAATGGTGCATAAGAGCCTTCCGTGTGGCCACAAGGCTATGATGCAATGCCACATTGAGGAGGAGCAATTCTTTTGCTTGGAGATTGTGGACAAGAAGTTCCCTGGATGCAATCATGAGGCTAAGGTCTCATGTTCTTGCAAAAGTTGTCCTCTGCTGTGTGATCTGCAGGCGCCATGTGGTCACAGCTGCACTTTGCAGTGTCACACTGACACTAATCCTGATCACCTTGAATACAAGTGTACCAAATTGTGTACAAAGATTAATAAGGACTGCAGGTCAAATCATCCTTGCAATAAGAATTGCTGGGAGGAATGCGACTCTTGCAAGACCATGGTAATTATATTTATTATAATATTAACTGAATTAATTTCATTCTACTTTACAATTTCTTAAACTTTCTCTTTAACCCAAATAAGGTGAGAAGAAAAAATTAAAAATAGTTTTTATGATTATTATTTCTGATATTATAAAAAAATAATATTCTTAATAAATTATGAAAAATGTTAAACGATGTAATAAACGAATCTTTTTGCTGCACATATGACATATAGAGTTTTGAAATAATCATATTCAAAAAAATTTCTGGCACAAAAAATAAACTTTGTTATGCGTTCAAAGAATGAAAACTTAAATGCATATTAATTTATTTTAAGATTTTTTGAGTAAATATAGAATGAGATGTAATTCTAAGCTTTTTCTATGGAATTGATTGAAAAGCTGAGTTTTTTTTGTACTAACATGTTTTTTCAAATTATGTTATCAGGTGAAAGCTAGGAGAAGCTGCGGCCATTCTTTGGACTTGGAATGCCACATTGACCCTGATAGTACAGAGTGTATTGGCAATTGTCGCAAAATACTGAGCTGTGGTCATCATTGCTTGAGGAAGTGCAATGTGGAGTGTGACCCGTGCATGCAGCCGGTAGAGAAGGTGATTCCCGAGTGTGGTCACTCAGCGAAGGTACATTGTGGCAGGGAAACTACAAAAGATGATTGTACGGAGCAGTGTGATAAGATACTGCCCTGTGGACATGTTTGCAAAGCAAAGTGTGTTGAAGAATGCACAACTGATTGTATGGAGTTTGTGGAACAGCAAATTGGAGATTGTGGACATGAGATTAAAAGGCTATGTCTGGAAAAAACCAAAGGTACGTTGCGTATTTAACAATAATTTTATGCAATTTTGCCAATTTTATAGCAAACATATTATAAATTTCCTTTAACAAAAATCAGGTTTGAAGGCAAATGTATTGAGATGCAGCGTCAAGTGTAATGCTGTGCTGGAATGTGGTCATGAGTGTGGTGGAACCTGCAAGACGTGCCACCAAGGAAGATTCCATGTTCCTTGCAAGCAGAAGTGTTCCAAAGAGTTAATATGTGGCCATATGTATGTTTTAATTAAATTTTTTATTAAATCTGAGTTATTATATTGATATTGCAACAGGTGCCCTGCTAAGTGTAGTGAACCATGTCCGCCATGCAAACAGAAAAATAGCATTGCCTGTGATCATGATGAAGTACACGAATCGTCTTGTGGCATGCCAAGGAAAATCTGCAAGGTTAAATATTTTTATCAAGAATATATGCATTTTATTTTATAACTGCGATTTTCAGGCAAAATGCAATGCGAAATGCAAACATGGGAAATGCACTCGTCAGTGTGGCATGTACTGCAACTATACAAGATGTGAGGAAAAGTGTCCCAATACGCTGAAATGCGGGCATCGGTGTGCTGGTTTCTGTGGAAGCCCTTGCCCTAGCCTTTGTTGGGAATGTGATAGAGAAGAATTGCTGCAGTGTTCATTTCCATTTGGTACCGAAAGTCTTGAAGACCCAAGGCATGTAACAAGCAGATAATTTTTTATTTTATAATATTCTCAACATTTTTTTAGGTTTGTCCTGCTGCCTGACTGCCAACATACAGTCGAGGCAGGAGCTCTCAAATTGTGGTTCAAGAGGCAATCATCAAGAGTAGAAATCAAAAGTTGTCCTCTGTGCAAGGTAAAGATTTCGGCGAGACTTTTAAGTTACAAGAAAGAAATTTGGGAACCATTTGATGACTTCAGCCGGATTTATGATAAAATTCGGTCACACAGTAATTCATTGGCCGACCAAGGAACATACAAAGCGTATAGCATTGCGGAATCCTGTAAAAAAGGTACTTAATACATAATTTCATTTTTATTAGCACACATGACTAACAATTAAAAATTATTTAGTTGGAATTAAGTCATTGGCCAAATTTGGGGAGCAAATGAAATCAAATTTGAAAATCTTGGAAGGAAACCCCCCAGATTTGAAGGATGGGAAAAAACAAAGGCATGGCCCAAGTATTGTTTTCATCAATGAATTGCCTTTGATGAAGATGAAAATGAAAATCGTAAAAGTAATGCTAGAAATCCTGAAGCCACCAGCTAAGCCCACTGCGAAGCTTTTCAACGTCAATGATGTGAAGGCTGAAGTTGACTTTATTGTTAGCATGCTTGAAAAGTACAAAACAATGTCAACTCAGCATACTGAAGATTTGAAAAACCTTCTTTGCGATTTGAAAAATAAAGTTCAACCAGGACAGCCAGCAGAGGGGGTCGAGCTTCCCGAGATAAATCTCTTGCGCCTAAGGTCTCTTTGGAGGAAGTGCTTGAAGTGTAGTAACTTGGCATATAGCTCAAATCAGGATGGCACAATGGAATGCAGCTCTTGCAAAAAATCTAGAGAGAGGAACAACCTATTTGATCGAGATCGATTACTTGATCTTAAAAATTTGCCCTTGTAGTTAGAGCAGTAGGTGTTTTAACAGCTTTATCATCTTATCAGTGTTCATGCAACTTGGATGTGAACTTCATATTATATGTGGTTTGAAAAATGTCGTTTTTGATTATGAATTTTCATATATTTCAAATTTTTTGTATATAATTGACTGAGAAGAACAAATAAAAACTACATATATAACTGCTATATAAATTTTCAATTTGTTTCTTGCATTTAATTGAATATGAATAATCACTTGTCAAACATCTGCTAGTTGTAAACCCTTTCTTCTCTTTTCTCCAATAAAAAATTTCTTGTATAGGCCGAGAAGAATAAATAAAAATAATAACAATAAATGTTAAATTTCTTTGTTATAATAAATACTGGTTATCATGAAACAAAAATTAATTCTTTAAAGTTATTATATGTTGCTTTCCCAATAGTAATAGTAAGTTATTTAGAGCTAGTTGTACAGCAACATCTTTTTGTTATATTATTAATGGTTATCGGGATGTATGGGTTATATTGAATGTCAATCTCCCGCCAAACAATGGCGAATAATTTGAAGCGCTCCACCATTCATCGTAAGGACCAATCAAAACGCAGATCTCCCCTCTCCTGACATCGATGGCTCCCGCTTCCTAATGTTTTGATTTGATCGCACGCTTCCAGCAATTCATTTCTCTCAAATCTCTCATCGTGCTAAAATTTGATCTTCGTTAACATAAATTATTCTTAGCCAAACTGATTGGTAGCTTTGTGTTGGCTCAGTTTAAAAGCATCTTTAACAGTTTAATCGTTCGTTTAAAATTGATACAATGGCCCCCAACGCCACATCTACATTTGTGCACTGGAACAATTTTTTGGAACTCATCGATGAGGCCAAAGCGTTCCGTAAGTTTTTGTTCAGAAGTTTAATTTATTTATTTTCAAAACCAAAATTTTCCTTCTAGTGCTGAAGGCAGAAGAAGGTGAAATGTGTCTGGACCAGCTGAAAAGTCTCTCAGACAGAGGAATGGCGATTTTAGTGGAAGGTAAAAACTTGGGATTAATGAAAATCCAACTTTCCGGCAATTATTTAACATAAAACAGGGCTGTAAAATACTATTTGATTTTCAGTGGAGGATAAGAAACTTCAGATGATCATGCTGGACATCAATTTGATGGATGTCCTCTTCAAGATCTTCCAGCTCAATGTCCGAACTCTGTCTCCTGAGAGATTCGTTTTTGATCCAGTCACTCATGCCCATAAAATTGTAATGCTTCTAAACACTAAACGTCTTTTGAATTTGAATTTAATATGTCTATAATGTGCAGCTCCACGTTCTGCGTGAAAAGAAGGAAAGCAGGCAGCTGGGTGACATTTTGATCAGAAGCTTCTCGGAAGCCGGTGCCAAACTGCTGAGCTACAAAGCTCCGTCGCTGAGTGTCATGGCAGGTGCCTTCGACATCTCAGACCCTGAGAAGAAAGCCAGAGCAGCTGCAGTCAGACATCCTAAGGACAAAATTGAAGCTGCTAAAGCTCCTGAAAAGGTAAAGCATTCTGGTTTACAAAAAAGTTTAAATAAAACTAAATTTTATTTTCTCTAAAAAGGTGACTGCTGTGACAGGTAGAACTGTTGATGAAACAGTTGTGGAAATTGGTAAACAGCTCAAGAGCGCCTTCATTAAAAATGAGAGGGCTCCAATTAGCTACATCAAATTTGCATTCAATCCTGAATCCTTCACGAAGACTGTGGAGAACATTTTCCACATTGCCTTTTTGGTCAACCTTGGTCAAGTCAACATTTTCCTAGGTTTTTATTTACAGATAATTTAATTTCCTCCTCTTAAACTTACATCTTGTAGACAAGGAACAGAGGCCTTGGATCAAACCCATTGAAAAGGAAAATCAGACAAAAAATAGAGATAAACAGTCTGCCCTAGTTATGGGAATCACTCAAGACGAGTGGAAGGTAAAAAACCAATTATGTGGGACTGAATTGTTATTGTAACTTCTTATGTCGCATCATTTTAGGAGGCCATTCGTTTGTTCGAGGTGACGGAACCAATGATCAAACTGAATGAAAGGGAAATTGCAGGCATCACCCACATTCCTACTGCTCAGAAGCGCCGCCGCACCAAGACGTAAACAAATTAAAAAAACAAAGCTTTTGAAGGCTGCAATAATTAATATTAAGGTACAAACAATGACTGGACTCACTGTAATTTAATTTAAATGGAAAGTGAAATAAATGAAATTTATTTTCTGACAACGAAAAGTACAAATTTATTTTATTTCTGATTAATTAAATAAGACTTCAAGGGATTCGGTAGTGCGTCCTCAAAATTCGAAGAAGACGAGTTTCTGGTAATGCTGATAATTTTGCAAGGAAGTTGTCTGTAAACAATTTATTTAGAGTCGTTAACTATGAACACTTTTGTGACTTACGTTTGTTGCCTGATATGCATCCTGTGCTAATAATGCACTGGATGGCCTGTCCAAATCTATCCAGAGCCAAGTTTCTCCCTGCGTCGGTTGCTTGGGGAGAATATAGTTCCGAAATAAGGTCGTCTACAAGCTGAACCAGTTCCTCTACTCGTACGCCTCGACCATGAATTGGCTGGCTCGTAGAATGTGCACAAGTCAATAGACCCTGCAGATATATTTTTAATAAACATGCTCCACATCAGCAAAGAAATAAAATTACCTGCATCAACGAGAGATGCAGAGTTGAATAGCATTTTTCCAATTCAGTCAACACATGCGACTGATCGTTGCCAAGGTCTGTGGGATTATCTGATTGCTCAACACGGCAGTCATGGAACGAAGAAAAAATCGTCCATCTAGAAAAATGTTTTAGATAAAAAAATTAAAAAATAAGCTTATAATACAACAAACCTGAAAAGGCCAACTATAGGTGTAATCGGATATTCATTGATTCCTGTTGGACCAACTTTGGGTTGCTGAAGGGGAGCCAACGACAAGTGAATATTTTCCATGATCCACTTTGTGACCATGCTGAGCAGCGCTTGTGGAGGTGCTCTGTACAATTCTATAAAAAGGAACGGATTGGTGAATTGCTCAAAAATTAGCACTTTTTTTTCTTACTTCCTGGTTTTGAGCCATACATTTGGACCAGCGAAGTGAGCAAACTGGCCGTAAAGAGTGGAGACACCTGAGGCAGCTCTTGCAATTTGATTGCTGCATTCGGAGTTAAAATAAAGAAATCGTTGACCAAGCTCTCTGCCAAATGCAAGCACGCTTGGGGGCTGATCGGAAGAGTCCACTTAAAATTTATTTTAATTAATCCTTGGATTAAAATCAGACTAAATAATACACTTACATGCATCCAGTAGCCCACAGTAAGAAGAACATGAATTTTTCTTGTTGAAATGGCAAGAGAGACAAGCTTTGATAGAATTTTCATGCGGTATTCTGTTATTGGATGGAAGAGAACAAGGAAAAGTTGGTTTCTTCCTGCGCAAATGTTGCTCTGGCTTGTCTTTGAAAAATGGTCACAAAGCACTTCCAGGAGACTGAGCTCTGAGGATGACTTTAAGCCCAACTGAAATTTTAATTCACAAAATTAGCGAAAAAAACACATTCAGACAGAAAACATTTAAAAGAAAGTTTGACATACCCGTCTCTTAATCCCTGGACTGGGATACAGAGGATCAATGTCGCAGAAAACAAATTCGGATGCAATTTCACGCACGAAATCCCTGGCAAATTGCGGTACATCATCGTTAGGATTTGCTGCCAAGTATGGCATTAGAAGAGACTCTGAAAATAAATTTTTGAATGCGATTTTAAAGTGTCATCACGGAGAATCGATGAAGATTTCAAAATTTTTAATTGACCTGCATTTTCTAAAGCTTCCCTAGCGCAGTATGGAAAGTCAAATTTTCTCAAAGAGTTCTTAATTTCCACTAAATTTCCAGTCATTTTGTACTTTTTCCAAACCGGTGAACTTCAGTGAACTCGGCTGTTTGTTATTATTTTCTCATGCTTCACTCTGATTGGACAGCAAGACTCTGTTCCTCGCCGTTGAGCCAATCAGTGAAGTCTAAAAGGGGGCGGGGAAAATTGTCTTAAAACATGAACAAAAAGAGCGCCAGGAAGAGTTCCACCATAAAGTTTATAGATAAAAAACTTGGACGTCTAAAAAATTTAAAAAAAAAAAAAAATAGATCTGGCAGAATGTTCACCACCACAGCCATAATTTACATCTACAACAACAACAATTTCACGAGGTTTATTGTGGCAGTGAAAAAACTACGTTAATTATGGTTAGGAAAAATTTAAAATTAATTTATTTTAATTTTAAATTTTTCCTAACCAATTATTAGTAAACTGCTTGGATACACTTAACAGTTGCAGGTTAAACAAATTTACTTAGTTATGGAAGGTCAGAGAAAATGAATTTCCCTTTTTTTAATTCTGAGCATGAGAGATTAGCAAAAATATTCAAACGACTGAGCCACCGGATTTCAAATTATTTGCTGTTTTTTAATTATTAAATTATACAAATGTTTTAAAGTAATTTAAAAAGCACAATTGGATTTTATTTAAGACATAATTGGCAAGACCAAATGTTATCATTTAAAAAGCCACAATTTAAATTTCTGTGGATGTACTTGTTGCAACTTTTACATTTAAAATACTCTAGACTATCAAATTTGGCGTTGCACTTGACACACGAAACATTCTTGAGGAATTCAAAACGACCTCCTCCTCTATCCCACATGTACTGAGCTGCTTTTTTTTTCAAATGCATGTAGTGGGAGGCCACAACAAGAGGTGACCCTGGTGCAAGTCGACCGTGGGCAGTGTTTCCTTCTATGTCTTCAATGGTGTAGTTATTCCTTTGCAGCAGGTTTACCAATGTTTTAACCCTACTGTTAGCTGTATCATCTCCTTCCTCACTTCCAGTCATCCTAATATAAAAATATTTTAATTTAATTTATTAAAGCAAATTCGAGTTTTACTTGTGGCCCAATCACATGATTGGCTCCTTTGTTTTAAAAATCATGTAAAATTAATATCATTGACGATTAAATAGGTCATACTGGGTCATACCTAGATTGAGAAGGGCCAGGCTGGACAGAGTCAGATGGAGAATTAGGCAGTGGGTTTGTAACTGCTGGGAGAGGTCCTTGCTTTGGTCCAGGTTTCATAGAAACCACAGTAGGCACAGGAACCTGCAAGAAATGACAAAACCAAGTTAACAAGTTTTTTTTGCAAAAGTTGATGCCACCAAATTTTTTTATAAAAATTTTGCATTCCCCACGGACTGTGAAAAAAATCTAGTAAAAAAAAAATCAAAATACTTTTTTAATATTAATTTTGTTATAAATTTTTTAAAATAAAAAAGTAATTATTGATACGGTGAAAATCAAGTTCAAATTATTAATAAAAAATCATTGATAATTTAATTTTGCAAGAACATAAAGGAAAATCTTCGAATAACTGCACACTAAGACACAAAGATTTTTTTGCTGCAAATGAGATGATGAGGTTTTTGCCGTTAAAAATATTAATATTAAAAATGAAATTGAATAAATTTAATTTTTATAAGCATCAAAATTGAAAGAATTAAGCAGAAAGAACAGGAAGAAAAGAATGGGCAGCCCTACGAGCAATGGATTGGGGTTGAAAGTCACGAGCGGAACGGAGGTTTGATTCAGTAGCAAGTAGAGAAAGCAAGAACGAGCAGAGGTTTGGGCAGGGAGAGCAAGAATGAGCAGGGTTAGCCTCCACTAATCCAATTGTTCTTGGAGCAGGGTTTGTACAGTTTATTTGAAATATAGGCTAGAATTGAGCAGGACAAGAATGAGCAAGGCTTGCTCACACTTCCCAGCTTGCTCAAAACTTTTGCCTGTAGTGCCTGGACTATTCAGTTGCCCAGAACTTAAATTAGAAGTCGAAGCACGACCTGATCACTGGAGCAGGACAGAAAAATAAGCCCATATATACTGGATAGCTGGGAAGGAATCAAGCCTTGGGCATAAGAAGAAAACAAACCTTCAAAAGATCAAGAGCTCTTTGGGCAGACACTCGTCTCCAGAAGCATTGGATTTTAGTAGCAGCAGTCCTGCGTCTTCCGTCGAAATGCTCTTTACGAAGCCGGAGCAGCGCCTGTCTGGCTGCATAGCATTTCCAACTGCACTGAATGACGGTGGCTGCTTTGATTCTCTTGATTTCCAATTCTCTCTTCATTTGCTGCACATGGCGCCTGACAACTTTTCCTCTCCATCTCTTCTGGACCAAGCTAGCAGCCTGTGTTTTTCTCTGTACGTCCTCCTGAACTAAGCGAGCTGGAAAAAATAACATCAGCTATAAATAAAATTATTTATTTGTGATTCTGTTATTTACCGAGTGTCTGCCTTGCACAGTAACATCTCCAAGCCGTCTGAATTGTAACGGATGCAAGATAGGCAAATTGCTCATGTACCTCATTTAGTTTTTGCAGTTCAGTGTTGTGAGCAGTGTAGCAGACTGTGTTTTCGAGCATAGTCAAATTTCCAGATGCTTCTTCGACGCTGTCTAATTTGCCTTCGGCATGTGTGTCTGTGCTGAACCCACTTTCGGCCAAGTCAGTCTCGCTGCTCACTCTTCTGTCAGCTATATAGGTATCGTCACTAGAGTCACTTTTTCTTTGTTCGGCAATGCATGTGGCGCTGCTTAGATGACTCTCGGGAACTTCCTGATGCATTGTCAACTGAAACAGATCTTTGGGCTTGGGAATTGTTTCAGCAGAGAGTTGTTTGAAAGCACTGGAGCGACGAGAGGTGTTGCAAGATGGTTCGATCTCCTGCAAAAATGTGAATGAGCACATTAGAGGAAACAACACTATAAGTCTTACAACCATTCCAGTATCATATTTATTCCATGATTGTGTTTGCCGAGCAGAAGCAACAGGTTTGAGGACCTCTCTAGGGGCGTCATCAGAAGGGAATGAGCTTTGCCGAGCAGGAGGAGCGTTGACGGAAGGCCTCATTGAAGCAGAATTTTTCAAATCCTGTTGGACAAAGCAAAATACATTAATCATAAAAATAAATTGGCCACTTAACTGATGTTTGTACCTTTTTTGGCATGGGAACCAAAGCTTCAAGTACCAGAGATACCATTCCACGTCGACCTTTGCTATCTTTTACATGGATTGACTCAAAAAATGTTCCCTTCTCTTGTGGGCCCCAAGTAAGGTTGACTTCGATGGACGATTTGGCTGGGACGTTGAAATGACTTGACTCTACTTGAATCTTGTCTGGAACTGTGATCTCAACCTAGAAAATGTGCATAAAAAATATGTATATATATAAAATAAATGGCTCATAAATAATAATTTAATTTTACCCTCAAATCACTAGAATCTGGATTTGTGATCAGGAAACTTTGGCACTTTGTGCTTCCAACAAGGACTCCTAAGAACTCTAGTCTTGGTTTTGCAGCAAACGGTTTCAAGACCAATTCTGGTATTTGGCGATCTTCTTCCTCGTCGTCATCCAAGAACAGCAGAGGTGCCGACTCAGCCTTTCGAGCATTACTGACCTTTAAATGGAAAGAAAATAATGTTTGATTATGCCAAATGAATTTCCTCGAATGCACTCTTGCATTTTTTTATCCAAATTATTATCCTTAATTGTAAAATAAAGTTTTTGTGTGATAAATATTTTGATAAGTGCGCTCACCTTAGTCTTCTTCAATTCAAAAAAATCACTCCTCAACAGCCTGAGCTGATTTTGAGAGTCTTTGAAGACTTTGGCGTGCTCTTTTTTTTGCATTTCGGGTGTAAATTCAGTCCTAAAAATCAAAATGCCAAATGTCATCAATGTCAAAGAAGTTGCGCAAATTAACAAACTTTGCTGTAAGGCTGTCTATGGTCTGCTGTTGGGCATTGACTTTGGCTTTGAGTAGCTCGATCTCGGCTTGCAAAAGTTGGTTTTTGCGAGCCATATTGTCATTTACCGACTCTTCTGATCCATCAGAGCTCTGCTTCATCTCCAACTCCAGTTCCAGCCTCTGTACCTCTTTCTTCATTTTGATTCTGCAATAATTTCAAAACACGTCTTAAGTAAAACAAGTCCTGGGAGATAATTATGCATAAAAAAAGAAAGAATGTGATATAAAAGTACGCCCATTAGGATCGATGAACGTTCTGGCTTTTTCTCTATGTACAAAGGGCCAGCAGCGAAACTAACTAAGGAGGAATTGAATGGGTTATTCCTTTTCTGGCAAAAATGTGGTTATTCCTTGCGTTATGGTGAGGAACAAGATTTATTTAAAAATTTCGGAATGTGTTTCCCCTGAACTGCGGATGTGTGTTTCAGTTTTCAACTGATTCGCCTAGAGGTTAAATGACATTAGTATATATACGCAAACAGAGGCAGGGTTGATCTATTTTTATTTTAAGAAGCTTCAAACTATAGAAAAGTAGTTTTCTTTCAAGTAAACCAAGAAAGATTAATTTAATTAAAAAGGTTGAACATTTCTCTAAATTGCGACCAATTTCTTTGTTGTACTTATTTTGTGTATTTTTATTCAGAAAATTTAAAAATTACGCATTTTTATTTGTATGACGAGTGCAAAAGGAAATTATAATTCCTACGACTAATAAACACCAGAGGGCTTCTTTTGAGCGTCTTCAGAAAAATCAAATGTTTATTGGCGAGGAAAAGGTGATAGATTTTTCAAAACAAGCATAAAACGCGATATTAGAGCTAAAAATACTGATTTTTCCTAAAAAATTATTATTTCGGCGCGCGCCCTACGACTGATAAACACCAGATTGCTTCTTTTGAGAGCGTCTTCAGAAAAATCAAATTTTAATGGCGAGGAAAAGGTGATAGATTTTTCAAAACAGGCACAAAACGCGATATTAGAGCAAAAAATACTAATTTTTTCCCAAAAAATTATTATTTCGGCGCGCGCCCTACGACTGATAAACACCAGAGTGCTTCTTTTGAGTGTCTCCAGAAAAATGAAACGTTTTTTTTGGCGAGGAATGCAATGGATAAGGCTATTGTTGGAATTTATCAGATTTTAGCCATAGCAATGATTGAAATTAATTACAATTTACGGAGGTTAAAATAGTTATAAAAAAACTCCAAATTTTTTTCAGCTAGAATTTTGATGCTTCCCATCAAAATCTAAAATATAAGGCAAGGTTATTTTAATTTTCTATCAATTTAAATTTAAAATTAGGATTAAAAGACAACTTTAATAGCCTTCAGTTGTCTGCAAAAAATCAACCAATATAAAAAATTGCCTGTTAATTTTTGCTCAAAATTTGCAAATGAGGGGGAAGGGCTTGCCTCTTTTTTAAAACTATTAAAAGAACTGTTTTGATTACAGAGTACAACAATGAGCAACAATCAAACTTTATCAGGAGCTCTTTATCAGTGTAATACACCTATAGGGTGTATTCTAAAAATTAAAAAAATCAGTGAAACTATTAATCAATCAATATTAATGAAATGAGAATAAATTTAATTTGACGAATAATTTTCACCAAATAGAAAATTTATCACAAAGAAAAAATATCAAAATTAAAGTAGAATATGCCGAGGGAGGAATTTTCTCTCAAAGCATAACAAATTGGTTCTGCATAAAATTAAATACTGCCAAATTTTGACGAACCCTGGCAATCGAGGCTAGGCGCCTCTTGCCGGGACTCGAGCTGGAAGACGAACGTCATTCCGAGGCAAGCTCTTTTCGAGTGAGTGACACAGAGACTAAGCCATTAGACCTGTGCGAGGCAATTGTGAACCGAGTTGTCCTGGACCTTGTTTTGTGCAGTTTCCCAGGTCACGGTGTCCGAATGGGAGGACAGCCGCGCGCTATCTGCACTAGCGAGCGGACAATCACGAGCAACCTTTGTGTGTCGAGCCACTGACACCAGCAGCGCCGAAGGTGGCACGTCAGCCGCCTCCGCGCCGCCCCAGCCTCCGCCGCCTCCAAGCCCCCCCCCCCCCCCCCCCCCGTGCTGCTCGCTCCTGAGCCATCAAGACAGAGACACGTAAGAGTGCTGAGTTCAAAATCAAGTCGAGTCGAGTTTTCCAATTAATTAAAGCAGAACATTTTTTACCAGAACCATTTTTAGTTGATGTTGTAAAGTGTTGATTGGCATATTTTTTTCTATTCTTAAAAGATCTTGGGCGTGACCCAGCCAGTTGCACTATAGGAATAAAAGAGAAAACCTTAAATCCACTCCATTTTATTTTGCATGCAAGTTACCCCGGCTAACTAAATATTTTTGTTTTGCTGTGAGATCTCTTGACAGTAGAAAAATTACCAGAGGAGAAATCAATTTATTTGCATTTTGATTAAGAAATTAATTAATTTGCATTTGAAATACTATGGATAAGAGATATTACATCAGAGTTCAGTCAAACATTCACTCTTTAAATTAAATTTAACTTTGATTTTTTAATATCATGCTAGTTATAATTTATGATTAACTACAATTTTCTCAATTTATTTTTTAATGCTCATTAAGAATCTGGTTACATTAATCTCCTTACTTATAAAGCAAATAAATATTTTTTTACATTAATAATTTTAAATTATAATACGACTCATTTCATTTTCTCGTCATTTAATTCAGCACATTATTTTATTTTCTCCGGGTCTGAATATTTGCTCAAGTTAATTACTTTTTACAGACGTTTGTGTTTATATTTTGTATCGATATATTTATGTGCTTCGCCTGGGATGCAGAACTACTCTTGAGAGAGATGATTAATTTCCTTGACGGCTAAAAAACTTAGTAATGCAGGCCACACTAGGGCCAATGAAAACTAATTATTCGCGGTGACAAATTGAGCACACACATGATTAATTACAAAAGAGTCCGGTCGTATATAACATTATGTTTGTAATAAGCGGTATCAGATAACCCGGGCGAATTCAAGCAGTCATGCCACGAATACCCACTTGCATAATCAACTGCTTCCGATGTTGATGATTCGACAAATATATCCATCTTTATATTTTGGCAATCAAGCGGCCGGTACAAAACCGAAGAGCCCAGTTATGAGGCGAAATTCTTTATAGCGAGAACGAAGAGTCATGAGCTTTCAATAAGCGAAATCATGATCCTAGTCATGTTCAGGGTGTTGCCGCTTGTCTTAATTTTTTAGATTTAAGTGGAAATATTAATTATTTTAAAACAGAGCATTGTTTTTCTCGCTCAGTTTCTGAATCCACGTTAAAATTCTTTTGAAGAAGAGTGACCCTTTGTTTTGTTTGGCAAAGACATGCATTGTCGTCGTTAGTCAGGATCATGATGCGGACAAATTTCAATAATATAAATTCACAACGGCCGCTTTTCATTTGGAACTCGGCGGCGATTGCAAAAAATCAAGTGTCATATTGTTCAAGAGTGTGTCGGCTACGTCGAATGTCGAATATACTGCGAGAGAGTGTTTTTAAAGAGAGTCGCCGGACACGCACACACCTCGAGAGGGCACAAACACGCTCTCTCTGCAATGAAAAGGAGATTCGCACGACGAGATGCTGTCATACAAATCTCTTACCACTTTTTTTCCAAACGAAGTTATAATTGTTTTAAATTTATTTTTAGCTCCTATTGAAAAAATATTCATTTTTTTATAACTTTTTTAAAAACAAATTATAAATGTTTAATTTTGTTCGCTAAATATTTTAACGAACTGCATATCGGTGCATTGTAAGTTTTGTATCATGTAAGTATCATAGCCAAAATCTCACGCGATCCATCTGGCATTCCCGATAGCTGGAAAGATAATATGTGAACAAGAATAGACAAAAGGTCTTGTCGTTGCCGAAACCGTGCTGATAAGTGTGGCAACGAGCAAAATGCTGAAATGCAAAAAATGCTTCAAAAAGCCGTGGCCGCGACTTTGCCATTTTTCTTGAGCGCATTCTTAGGCCTGTACCGAGCCGTTCGCGGTTGACGACTCCACTTTCGGCGGCCGAATGGTCTTTCGAGGCTGCAACGGCGATTCGACGCCAAAATCTCAGTCGAAATATCGATAAAAAGAATTGGACTTACCGCACAGCGACGCGAATTCCTGTGTCCTCGTCGGCCATGTCGTCGTCTGTCGTGGCTCGTTGCCTCAACGGCTGTCGTCGATTGTCCTGACCGTTCCGATGTCCCTCAATCGTCGTCCGCGGGCGTCTGCCCTGCACCGTCCGGGAGCGTCTGGCGAGCGTCGGCGCCGCAAAATTGGTCCTACATGCACCTCAAACGACGAGAAGCAAACTACTTGCACTTGCGACCAACCTTGCGACACTGGCACCTGACCTGCCTCACACTCCTCAGTCATGACCCAAGGGTCAAAAGCCAAGGTCACAAGGAGAGTAAAATATTACCGCGACCGTGCTGCCTTCTACACGTGCCGTGTGCCGTCATTGCCCGGCCCACCTGAGCAAGGGGGCTAAGCAAGGTCGAAAAAGGAGACGCAAAGTGTGCTGCTTTCGCTTGCATGCAGCCCACTCTGTATTACAATCATGGACCTAATAATTTAAATAAAAAATTTGTATGAATTCAAGTAAATCAATGATTACAATGCTGAATGCATGCCCCAGAGAGCATGCCCGCTGCATATCCGCGCGAAAGCTTCCTAAAATCAGGCTCCTCCCTCAAAATCACGACAAGTCGTTTTAGGATCTAATCTAGGTAGGCTGATCGCGGACACTCGGACATACTTTTGTACACTAGTGTCCAAGTGACCAAGAAGCATAAAATCAAATTTTGCTAGTGACTTCAAAATGCCCGTGTCAATAACAATAGATAACAAACAAAAAAAAAACCAAAAAAAAGAACAGGTATTAGTATTAGCTCCACAAACAACCGGTTGGTTACCCATTGCCCCGCCCCCTCTTGAACAACAACAACACCTCTGAACAACACAAAAGGCATGTGTTCTGTTATGTTTGGTTAGAGTTGTTTTAATCTGTCGGGATAAAAGTTTGATTTTTGTTTGTAATATTTATATTCCATTCTGAAAACATGAGCTGCTTGAAGCTCTCAAATTTTCCGGAGACTTTGAAGAAAACCGAAATCGAAGATTTTTTAAAGCATTTCGGAGCAACTTCAGTGAAGTGTGTGGGGTCGAGAAACCCCATTTCTTTTGCAACGTAATTATTTTTCCTTGTTCTCTGTTCACACTCGTATTTAAAATTGATTAAATTTTTCAGATTTGACAGCGACAAATCTACTGCAACTGCTCTGAAGAGACTGCACCAATTAGAAGTTTTAGGAAACAAGTTAGTTGCAGTTTACAGCAAACGAAAACCCGATGATTGGACTGAAACAGAGCCATTGAGAGATCCTCAGACGTCACAAAGGTGCTCTTTTGTAAAAATGAATTATATTTTAATAAATTTGTATCCACACAGTGATTCTACCAGTACAGAAAGTCAACGATGCTACCAAAAATTTTTGCAAAGCCTCAACGCTTGGAGTCTGTCGATGGAATTGAGTCAGCCACCTCCGTCTCATTTGCTGTAATTTTACAGAACCGTTAACAATCTTCTTGAAGTGTAATAATTTATTTTTTAGGTATTTGTATCCTCCGCCTTCTTTGGACGTTCTTGCCAACATTTCACGAGCTTTAGTTGCTGTCCCAAAATTTTACAACCAAGTTCTCCACTTAATGAACAAAATGAACCTGCCCTCTCCGTTTCACACCAGCTCACCAGAATTTCGCGCTGCAATTGCATCTCTTTTTGGGCAACAAGTTAACCAGCCTGCGCCGTCAACGATAGGTAAAAAGTCTCCAATCCCATTTTTTTTTAGAAAATCAATAATTTTTCACCTTAGATTCAAATGGGCTGGCTGCTGATCACGAGGAAGAAGCCAAGTCATCGTCAAATGAATCAGAGTTGGAAAGTGACTCCGAGCCAGCAGCCAAAATTCCAGAGTTCATTCCGCTCAAGAGAAAACTCCCAGGAAGCATAACCACTGCCAAGAGGCCAAAGTTGCTCAAGTCAACGACAGCATCTGCGGTTTCCTCGAAATCTGTGATTCCAGTAACTGATGTGTTTGAAGTTAGTTCAAAAGAGCCGCAAAAGAACATTACACTTAATCTTAGCGCTAAAGAATCGCATGAGAAAGAATCGGAGAGGGATGATCAGTTGAACAAAAAGCAAGAGCAGGGTGGTTTTGGAGTTCTCTTTCCTGTTGTGCCCGAAGAGAGAGACGCCCAAGAGAATGTGGAAGAGCAGGACCAAGATGACTCGTACATTTCCATGTCTAAACTACGCTCTAATCGAATTCCGGAGAAAGGTTCCACAATAATTCTCAAGCTGAATTTTGACTCTATTATTTTTTAATTTAGAACAAGCAAATCTTCCTGTGTATCGAAATTACCAGCCAGGCGCACCATCGTGCAGACTTTATATTAAAAATCTGGCAAAGACTACAACAGCAAGAGAACTGCACTTCATATTTAGAGCGTTCATCGGCCACAAACCAACTGATGAGGAGGACAACAAAATGTGAGTTACAATCAGTTAAACCGTAGAATTTATAATTTAAATAAAATCATTACATATCGTTATTTAAACAGTTCTCTCTAAAAATTTGCTTTTAATTTCCAGGTTTGATATTTTGCACATGACTGAGGGCCGCATGAAGGGCCAAGCGTTTGTTACCTTTCCCTCGGTGTCCCAGGCGCAAACTGCTTTGCAAGAGGTGAATGGCTACATTCTGAATGATAAGCCAATGGTCATTCAATTTGGAAGATCAAAAGTACAAACAGTCTCAGAAAAACCAAACAAATAAAAATTTTATAAAATCACCTACGATTATGTTTGAAAGAAAATATCCCAAATTTATTAAAATCTAAAGTTTATTTTGTGAATAAGTTAATGTATTGATGATGAGTATTGAAGAAGCAAAGTGTATGTCGTATGGCACACTAGGTTCGTTTCGTAGATTTGGGCGAAAGTGTTGTATCACTATGTTTTGAGCCAATTATAGAATAAGGTAGGAACCTAATCAATGATTTGGAACTCCGAGGACAAATCGTGGATTTCTGTTAGCACTTAATTGCTGTAGCTGATATGAGACATTACCAGAGTGCCTTTTTCTTCTTCATTAAGTACTTGGGATTAAACTTATGTCCAACAGCTAGAACATGCAAGTCACTTTGCAATAAATTACAATTTAAAGCAATTCCAGGGGGTTCAACAATATCTAAAACAAAAATCGAAGCTAAGTTTAACAAGAATCTGTCTGAAGCTACTAAAAAGAAAACCAGGCAAGAAACCCTAAAATATTCGTTAAAATTAAATACAGTTCAAAATTTAATCTTCTCATGAGATCAAAATAGCATATTTGTTAAAAATATTCACGCTTCAGCTGCCATAGATTTCCCTGAACCGTCACCTAAAAGGTTTTCTAAAAATTCAAGGTTCCTATTTGAACTAATCTTGAATGGTCTCGTCTTTTTGCCTATTTTAACATCCGTTCTCGTCACAAGCGTTTCGTGCCTGGGAGTCTTTTTGTACAGGTAATAAAATTTGATAATGTCCATCACTGACTTTGATGGCAACTTGTTCTGGTGGATTTTAAAGAAATCCTTGCCGTACGTGCACAGTCCGTTCTCGAACCTGTCCACCTCCTGCTCCGTCCACAGAGACATGGTGTCCACAGGTTGAATGGTGTTGAAGGAGTGCCGTCGAAGAGCCTCTTCTATGTTAAAGTTGCTCTGCATCAGCGAGTAAAGGAATTCATCGTTGTCTTTCACCCAGTTCTCTCCAGTCTCTTGCAGGAGTTTTTCAGTTGCTTTATTGAAAGCTTCGACCTAGTTAAGAAAAACAAATTTGAAATGGGAAATTTATTAACTAACAAATTATTAACCTGGTTTTCCGAAAGGTGGCTTGGGTCCCAGAGTAGAGTGTCAGGAGCTCCGTAATTAGGATCAACTGTGTCCATGCTGCAGGCAATTTCTGGAACCTGAGCCTGATATTCCTCGCCCACCCTGGTCGTCTTGTACATGCCTGAGTTGCTGAATTCGAGGGAGGTGTAAAGGTCCTCCTCGTCCTCTACGTACATCTGCAAAACATGAGTACTGGTGATGCTGGTTTTGATACTGGTGGTCTTGATGCTGATGGTTTCTTCGACAACGCTGCTGCAGTCGTCTTCGATGATGGCCTCGATGTCGTTCTCCACATTAATTGGATGCACTTCTCCGTAGCCATGCATGGCAAACAGCTCTGCCAGAGGAATTTCATTGTCTTTCTGCAGTTCGGACAGCTCGTCCAGAACCTCCTCGGCCTCCTCTTCCAGAGCTTCTTCATCGTCCAGGGTGCGCTCGTCGTCATAGTCGTGGATCATCATCTCAATCGGCGGATCAAATTCTTTGTCGTCATTGTCTTCAGTGTTTGCCATTTCTGGTACTTCGTCCACCTCCAAGTTTTCGTCCATGCTGAAAAATTTTCAAAGTTAAATTATACTTCCTCATTTTTAGTCAAAGGCAAAGCACTTTCCCGCTCGGACGGCTTTTCGTGTTGAATAATAAATAGTAATTGTAAAAATAGAATCCAATTTAATTTTTATTTAAGTCATCTCTAAAAAATTGTAAAACAGTTACAAATGATATTGAAATCTGTTAATTATGCATTGCATTTATCAATTGTTATTGAAAAAAGTGCATCGACGCATGCATTCATTTTTGTGAGAGCGCGCTAAATTTGATGCCTTTTAAATTTTCACTTTATTTGATTTTTCTTAATTTGTATCTAATAATTAGCTGCACTTACGTGTTAACCTCTATGATTTTTTAACTAAATTTGAGGGCAAATAGGACAATTTTTAAGGACAAATTATCCACAGACGGCATCCGCCGAACGAGATTATTGACCAACAACAACAATGATTGATGATTTTCTCCATTCTTCCAAGGAATCATCAGGCGGGAAAATGGCTCGCTCTGCGGGTTGCATACTGCATAGCTATAAGCCCAAAACAGCGGCGGATTCTTATGTTATGTAAAAACATAACATAAGAAATCTCGATTCTGATTGGCTGAACATAAGCGTTATGTTCAAACATAACATAAGCCAAGCTACTTGGCCGAGCCAAGAAAAATGACATAAACATAAGTGGACAACATAAGGGAGGGCCAATCAGGGATGAGTTCATAAAGGGTAGCCAATCATCCCCTGATTTAAAACGCGCGCGGTGACGGTCGATATGTTTAAAAAAGTATTTGCACGTGCTGTATACATTTGTGACCGACATTTATTAAATGTGAACATATTTTCACTATTAATCGATTGAAAAGGCGCAAAAAAATTGAAAATATTTTATTCCAAATGGAAAAAAATAACACGATTGTAATAATTGTAATGTACCTTAGTTAACTTTGGCTATAGTTAATTTATAAATTATGCCGCGAAATTTGTCAACTTTAATTTAATTTATTTAAAACCTGCATTATTTTGTGAAAAAATTGTCTGCAATGATGAATAAGTAGAGACCTCAGCCGCTCGATTTTTAGGCGGTTTCATTAATTAAAAAAGGGAAAAATTAAAATTTTGTACAGTTCTGTAAAAAAATTTTAAATAAAAAATAATTTCTTGGCCAAGGAAAAAAAATTAAAAAATAGTCGGCGGCTGGTTCCGCAGCCGTGCGACTTCAGCGGTGGCTGGCGGCTGACCACGTAGGCTAAAAATTCCGGCTGGCGCAGCTCGGCTAGCGAAGATCTCTATGAATAGGTGGATAGTATTTTTCTTTTAATGCAATTTTCATTGAGCAGCTAATAATTAAAAAATAATCAGTGGTTTGATGGCATACCAATAGCGCTATGTATGCAACATAACATAAGAGTTGGTCGCCGATGTTTTGGAGGAGTGCGTTATGCTCATTTCAGATCTATACATAACATAAGCGTAACATAAGAAATCGCCGCTGTTTTGGGCTATAAGGTTATTTCATAAAAATTATTTTAAATCTAGAAGATAAATGGATATTGAAATTTGAAATAATTACAACTAACATTGAGTTAAACCATTACATTTTTAAATACTACTACAATTTCTTGCTCAACTTCTTAATTATTGAAATGTAAAAAAATCTGAAATTAATTAAATTTTTCATTTTTTTTACATGAATGGTGGTACCTTGTGATTATTATAAAAATTATGGATTTCATCTTCCTTGGACAATTGATGTCTTTAATAATACCTGTCATGTAACATAAATTTTGACACTAAAATAGCAACTGGTGGTGACAGAACTGACAAGAAATCAGGAGAAAAATATTAGCTAGCTCACATACCATGCACAAATAACAGCTTTCCGTAATACAATATTAATTTGACAGTGAACATTTTCCTTTCTCTTTGTCTACGAGATTTTTATTTGTCATAATTTTTATTAGGAAATAAAGCATTTTAGAGTAGAATTTTGGTCCAGATCTTTTTGATTCATCGACGATGCTACTTTTTTAAATGATAAATGCAAAAAATAAAATGGCAAAGAAATTATTGCTGGGAGGTGTGATAAACCATCTATGCGCATTCATCTTCTGGCAGATAAGCGAATTTGTTTTTTGCGCCGTCCTCTGATCCGCTAGACTCGGACCCTGCATCTTGCGACTGGCTGTCTTGTCCCCTGGAAACACTCTCATCGTCATCAGAGCTGAAAATTTCTTCCTCTACGGCACTAGCTCCACCTGCTGACGACTTGGCTTGGATTCTTTTGATATCTTCAATTTCAGGGTGTGACAACCAAGTTTCTATAAAGACGAATGTAAAGTCCGAACACACTTGAAATATTTAATGTTTAATTCACCTTTCTCGCTGGAGAAGTTTGGAGGGTAGAGACAAAGACAAACCTTCCCATCCAGAGCCATCCTCAAGATGTGGTTGGCCGCCCTGTACGAGTCGAGGCGAGCAGCTTTGGCAGTGAGGAATCCTCTCTGCTTGGCCCAACCTGAAAACAAACATTAACAATCAATTTTAGATAAAAATTTTCAACCTACCATCGCACACATCAAAAGCAGACCAAGAGTCGTCATTCTCAGGATGTTGTATTTTCAGCAGTTTCACCAAATCCAACCTTTCAGCAAGAAACTGTACAGAGGAAAAAGGCTCTCTGAGTTGAGCAATTGGAAAGCTTCCCATCAGCACCTATTTGTAAAATTTATTTTAAATAAAAATTTCCTTGCAAAGGAAAATATATCTTTGTCTAACCTGGAGCGGCTTTGGCACCTTTGACGGAAACACAAGACCTGGGCAATCACACAGCCTGACTGTTGGGGTCAAAAAAATTGTCTGGAAATGTTTTGTGTGGCCAGGCGTGCGAGAGACGCTGACCACCTTTTTGCCCATGATTGCGTTCATGAGAGACGACTTTCCTACGTTGGGTTGGCCGACGCAGCCAATCGTCAAAACTCCGTCCTTGAAACGCTGATGGTCATGGTAGGTTGTGTCAATCTGCTCAGTCTAAATAGCAAAATTATATTGAAGCTGACATTTATCTCATGAATTTAAGTTACCTCATGAGTTTGACCAATGATAAGATGGTCATCATCGTACTCAGTGTTAAGTTCCTCCGCAACTTTTTTGTGCCACGATGATAGATCCACTGATGAGAATTTTTATTAGCGTCATTATTTTAGCATTCCTAAAAAAAAAATTACCTTGGCCGGAAACAATGTTTTCACAAGCTTGAAGTAACTGCTCTGCCCCTTCAGCTGCCATCCTCATTTTTCCCCTCCTCCGCCTGATCAAAAGTCCTCCTGGAATAATCATATTAAACAAAGCTGCTCAAAACTAGGATATATTTTAATTACCTTCTTTTTCATTCGAGTCTCTCAAATTGTAGCCTGGAAAAGCTGTGAATATTAGGACCTGAAGACTAGGGTAGAGCGTTTTGAAGTAATTTTTCCAAGCCAGAACCAACGGCGCTGGAGCTAGGTCGATTTTGTTTAACACCAGGATCATGTCTTTCTTCATTGAGTTAGTGACAAAGTCGTACAAAGACGGAGGAAATAAATATACCTGAAAACATTCCCTAATTTAATAACAGTCCGCAAAATTATGTTAGGCATAAATTACTGGAAAACGTATATCAACGATGAAGAGGACAATATCTGACATTTCTAGCACTCTCCACAGCTGGCGCCAAGTTTCGAGATTCATTTCAAAATAGCTCAGCTCTGACCATGAAAACTTCTTTCCAACATTGTCAACATACTCCTGTAGAGAAATTTATTAAATATTTTATTAGATTTAAGAAGAAAATTCAACCGCACTCTAAAATATTTTTGCTCTTTTGCGTCAAGAACTTCTGGGGTCATGCTTGAATCCCACGGAGGCCGTTTGGGAAAGTCAAGTTCTGGAGGAAAAGGACAGTCCCTGTCCACTTCAAGATCTTTCTCAGGCACCGGCTTCAGTTCTTTCCGAGCAAGTTCCTTTCTAGCCTCGATTTCCTCTTTTGATTCTTGTTGGAATTGTAGCACGTATCTTCAAAATTCAAGACAAAATTCTTATAAATTCCATATAATATGAAGAATAAATTTAAATTCGTAATCAAAATAGAAATTTAGAGTGTTTTTTCAAACCTGTTTGTGTTCCTCCCTCTTCCAGGCTGCAAATTGAGTTTCTGTACTTTGACTCCGCTGCCGTCCGACTCGCCATCCTCCGACTCGTGCATGCCTCGGCCGTACCGCATGGACCGACCACTGGACGCACCTAAACCCAGAAAATGTCAACTGAACTCTGCTCTCTGCAAATCACGACTCACTTCTCTCAAGTTCATTTCTCTTTCGGCTCTTCTTGACTTGGATCTGCTGCTTTTTGGCCTTGCCACTGAACGGGGCCTTCCGCCCACCTTGCGGCATTTTGCGATTTCGCACGCACGTTCAATTGGCAAACGAGTGACAACTTCTGGTTTCGGATATTTTTTGCTCGGAAAATCGAATTCGAAACCGATATGAAGGGATAAGCGTCTGATTTCTATGAAATTAGCGCTGATTAGCACAATGCAGTGTTTGACATTGAGAATGACAATAGAGTTCGAGTGACGCGCGCAAAACAATGAGATCTCGGCCAATCAGAGCTCGCGGCGTCGGCCAATCACAGCAGCCGTCATGACTTTTGACAGAAAAAGCGGAAATGGTGCGTGCAAACGTTGAAAGTCCTTTACCGAGATTCGTTCCTAGCATTGTATTGGATGTTTTAATAAATGAGAACAAAATTTATAAAATGAATTTCACTTTTTCATTACTATTTTTAAATTTTTATAATTAATATTGCAATAAATCAGATTTAGTAATAGTAAAAATTTGGTAAAAATAAAATGAATGTTACAGAATAAAAATAATAATAAACTCAATTTCTTTCATATAATTTTTTTTTATTTATTTTTAATTATATTTTTTACTTGCTTTTTTTAATTTAATTATTTTAATTTTAATTTTATTCTTTGCAACATGGTTTGCCCGGTTTTAATTTATTCCATGAAATCGACCTCAAGTGTTACCATTTATTTTTGAAACTTTTTTCAAATTTTTTAGTTTGTATAATATTGCGTAAAACAGACATTGGGATACTTAAATTCTCATTGATTGAGAATTATCTGGAATCGAGTGGAAAGCCACAGAATATGGTGTTTATTTAACCCTCAAGCACTTTGCTTATTATTTTTAGCTCGGGCGTGTGCGGATGATCTATTTTTGGGGCCCGAACGTTCTGGCAACGATGATGCTCGCATGTAAATACTAGCGGTCGGATAAGCTGCTCTTCAGATTTTCTCTGAACACTGATTAGTGCAAAACTCCTCCGCAGCAGGATCATCTGTTCTGGAAAATGGAACCCTTCAGGGTAGAATTCTCGGTGGCCGACGCATCGAAGCACCAAGGCGACGTTGAGTGCATCGCTTGCCACGGAGACAAGGTTTATTCCGGTGGAGACGATGGAGTTATCAAAGTAAGAAAATAATTTAGAAGGTGTTTTTTTTTTTAATAAATATTTATGCAATTCAAACAATTTAATAACAAATTTGATTTGATTTGAAATTAATAAATTAATTTTATTATCGTTTAAAGGTTTGGAATCAAAAAGACCTGAGTTTTGTAAACGAAATCAAAGCTCATGAAAGCATGGTGTACACCCTGACTGTAATTGGCGACAACCTTTACTCTGCCAGCAACGACGGCGCAATCAAAATTTGGCGTTTGCCGTCCCTGGAGCCTGGACCTACCTTGCTTTCGCACTCGGAAGCAGTTCGGAAAATAAAAGTTCTCCCTTCAGGCGATTTCATTTCTGGCGACGAGGCTGGAATGGTAAATTTTAACGTAACAAATTCAGTTCTTTAATTAACGGGGCTAAAATTAAAGATGCAAAGTTGGAGCGGTGAGGCCAGCAAGCAGGCTTACGAGCCAATCGGTGAAGAAATCTGGGATCTCGCTGTTGACTCTGAAGGTCTTGTGTACACGGCCAGGGACAGAGACATCACAGCTTGGTTCCTCAAAGGTTTGCTTAATTAAAAAAAAAATATATATAGTCAATTAATTATATTGGTGTCTCTTACAAAAAAAAAAGGAATTGCTGAGGAAAAAATTTGACATTTTAGTTGAAAAAGTTCCAGTTAAAAAAAAAATAATAACAAAGTATATAATAGAATTAAGTTTTTTTTTTGTAATATTTTCTACAGAAATAATTTTTGTGCGAATAAAATTTATAAAAAGATATTTCATGTCTAAAAATTGTAAAATTTTTCAGAAAACAGTTCATTCACGCAAAGCAAAGCGACACTTCCTGGACGGGCGCCAATTTGCATTGTGAACGACAACCTGTACTACACGTCGAGAGATGGAATGACCATTGAAAGCGTCGGGACGGCCAAGAAAAAATTCGAGAAAGTTGCAGTGCTGAAGGTACATACGTACCAAATCTAATCGTTCTGATTATACGAGCAGGCGTAACGCAATTAAATTGAATTTAATTAATATTTTAGGGCCACGATAAGATTGTCAACTGCATGACTCACTCGGACAAATATTTGTTCACCGCTGGCTGGGACAACCACGTCAGAGTTTGGGATTTGCAGACACACAAATGCTTCGCCAACGTCGACGCCGAGGGCTACCTCAACGCCCTGGCAGCAACACCCAACGCCGTATTTGCCGGCGGCGCCAACGGTCTCCTCGTCAAAATCACTCCAGTCAAATGAAAATAAATAATAAAAAACTTCACATTTATTAGATTTAAGTTAGTGACTTTCGCTGCTTAAACTAATATTGCTCTTTTTCTTTTTAAAAAAGATTATAAGACGATTAATATTTGGGATAAATAAGTGAATATTTAACTTATTCCTAATTATTCAATTGTAAAAAAACTAACATACTAATTTCTTTCTTTAATGTTGATTTTTAAAATAAATGACTGAAATTAATTAGTGTCATTAGTGGTTAACTTTATTTATTAAAAAAATTCCTCTTGCAGTGCTCATCATGTTGAAATGAGTAACCGGCCTTTAAGTTTGTTGAATACATTCTACAATTTAATTGAAAAAACAGCTAAACTATATAGTTTTAGTTGATTTGTTGTTAAAATTATTGTTTAATTAAATTTTTAATTTTTAAAAGCCAATCAGAACGTAATGAAAAAAATTTAGACAGTATTAAAAACTCTTTTTATAAAAGCTGGTTTTTCTAATAAAACATGGTTTCGTCAACGTGGAAAAGTCCATAGTTTTCATGTGAACTTAAACTGAACTTTCTTTTTGTAACTGGCCTTATCAAAAATGTGCCTGCGCCGAAGCTTTTTGAGTTCACAATTTTTATCAGTCGCAATCTAAATTACACTGTTATAAAAGAATATAAGCTGAAATAAAACAAATCAAACACCTACAATATTTTTTGCGAGTACCATTTTGCACTCACGATCCTGTTAGGAGCTTACTGTGCCCACTATAATGTTAGATAGATAGTGCGTGTCCCATTCATCATCATATCAAATGCAGATAAGCATATATTGCATTGTAAAAAGTTGGAATAGTTATTCGCTGGCTCACTTCCCTTATCAGCGCCCTCGGAGGTGAATCAAGTCTGTTGATAAGATCTCATTTTTATATGTGTGCGTATTAAGAAGGATATCAGCGGGAGCCTCCCCAATTTGATCCAGTTCGACAATCAGCATATTCGAAAAGAACACGCAAGTCGTCGCTCCGACTGCGAAATTATGAATTGCGACGTGCCGTGGTGTTTTTTCAGCTGAAGTAATTATTACTTTGTGCTCCTCTCTTTCATTGACGTACAAGAGAGGTGAGATCACCTTTGTTTTCGCAAACCACACTGCAACAAAAAAAAACTCACTCTTGAAGAGAGGAAAGAACTCTTGAAGTATTGGAAACTGTCCGTCGATCGATTTGCGTCAAGTGCTGAAAAGAAGACTTAGAAATTTCGCTTGAAAAGTTTGCAAATATTGGCTCAACATGTTCCGGAAGTCCGGCAAGATACAGGAAGTTGCGAATCCGTTTCAGGCAAGTTACCTAATTGATAGTTTTAGTATCTTAATTAGAAATACAAAATAAATACAAAGTTAATTTTAATGGAAATTAAATATTACAAAATAAAATGGATGTTTTGTTGTAATTTTTAAATTTCTATCTACAAAAATGAATCGTGTGCAAAAAATAGACCTGAAAATACGCTGAACCATATTATGATATAAAATTTTCATTCATAAAAAGTTGCACGACAGTGTTTAATAAATTTCTGATGATAAAAAGTTACTCTCAATCAGAGTTTTTAAAAATATTTTATGATATGAGAAATGCTGATTGTTGTGAATCAAATAGTTATTTTTAAATCAATAAATTTCAAGAGTTCCAGTTAAATTATGATTTTTAAGCAAAAAGAATATTTCTAGTCACCATTTTTTTTTTTTTTTTTTTTTTTTAATTAAATTGAAGTTGGTTAAAAAATCCTCCATTCAGGCATTCAGCCTTGAAATCAATAATTATTTTTGCAAAAAAATTCTCCCACACATTAGAAAATAGTGTTGCAATTAAATCGAGGGAAAATTTTGCCACCGCAGATTGCAGAGTTCCATTTCCATCGCAGGTTGAGAGATTGATAATTAAGAGGTGCGACCTCCACTAGCACTCTACACCGCAGTTCCCAGTGAAATTCGCCGGCAATGAAATTGAATCGTGTAAATGAAGCCGGTTGTGGGTGTCTTTCTTTAATCTGCGTCTAACCCAGAGAGATGCTGCAACACCCCGAGCGCAGATTATCTCACAGCACAATGAGCATTTCAGCGCATTTAATATGAATGCTCTACGCACCCATTCAGCAGTGAAGTGACGGCGAGACAAAGGCTATAATCGTCCTCCACGCAATTATTAAATCCGTCTCGCGAAATTAGATGCTGCTGCTCCCGCGCGCACTCGTTCAGAGAGACAATGCTTTTGTAAGCCTACTTTACCTATTGTACAATCTCATCTCGCTGTCAGCCAGTTATAAACAACGAATTAAACTTTCCCTCTCAGAATTACTCAACCCTTTAAGTTGGCGTCGGTTATAAATTTCAATTATTTTCCCTAACATTTTCCAAAATTTACAAAATCAAAAATTAAAATTCACACCAACAATTATTATGAAAAGTTTAAAAAAAAGTCAGAAAATTGAAATAATTAAAGATTGAATATAACAAAAAAAGGTATTGACACCATGAATATTTCAATTAAAATAAAATAAGTGCCTTTTCACCAGTTTGTTGGACGTAAAAAAAAACCAGATTAATAAGTCAAACCCGTTTTCATCGAACATTCGTCTTGATTAGAATGTTGTCACACAAAATTATTAAAACCTGCTATTCGTATGGCTGCACGAACTAAATCAAATTTTCCCACAATCAGAAGTATCAAATTGCAAATCCGCGAGATATTTCTTGGGAGCAACTCTCGATTGCGCCTCCGTGTAAATCATTACACATGCAATAAATTCTCTTGCGTTGCGACAGTAATTACTGTATGAATTATTTCCTCCTGCCTGTGATATAAAAAAAATTCAAGCGAGAATTATCATCATGCGTATGCACAGCAGGTTGAGGGAGAAGAAAGTGTTTTTCTCGATTCGTCGGTGCACCATATCGCAAAATATTATGCACGCGCTAACGCACATATTAATTACCATGTGAATTCTCGGCCGCCTTATCATGAGCGTTCTCGCGCGGCGCGTGTTGAGCAATTATTTGGAATTCTCACAATGTCATAGAAATAATAAGAATAAGGGCACGTGACTGTTACGAGACAAGGAAAATTGCAATTATACATTCTTCTGGTGTCCTTTTAAATTAGAAATTACTGAGAAATCAAAACTAAAAATAGTTTTTGTATTTTATAACGGAAAAAATATATTGAAATTTCATAAATTTCATAATATGATTAATAATTGTTGTTATTAACTTTTTCAATTATTTTCCGAGCCAAAATGTATTCTGACATCTGACAGATAATTGTGTCTTCTGATTCAATATAATCTGAGACTGAAAACTACCTTTTTTGGCCTCAAATAAAAGACTTTTTGTACATATTTAATTAATATTAAATTTTTGTTTTACTATTTTGCAAAACATTACTAGACTATTTAAGAGAACTTTTTCCGCTTAAAAATTAAATTATACCCGAATTTTATTAAAGAAACTTTTCTATTTCACTAGATTTTTTTTAATTAAGTATACGGATAAATTGCAATTTTTAACAACTCTTTAAAAACTTCTTCCTATTAAAAAGCTCTGAATTAGGGGCTTCCTCTGTCTCTTGTTGAAGGTCTTTTCATTTTATATCAGAGTAAGACATCTTTCTTCTTCTTTCGTCTGGTTTTTTATGCTTTATAATTCCGGCGCACATCCTGTGTCTACCCACCGTTCGGGGTATTTTATTGTGTGCAGCACGAGTTGATTCAATTTTGCGGCTAATTACCTGACGTGGAAGAGAGAATTACCCTTTGTTCCTGTATGAAAATGAACGTGCCCATTAAAGAACAGGTGGCGAGCGGTGAAGTGGAGTGTGAGTCTCCAAATCAGGGTTTGTGCACCTCGGGCGTGACGACCAGGAGAATGAATAAAAAAAAATCGAGCAGCGCATCCCTCGAAAATCAGGACGTTTCACTTTACTCCGAAAAGAATTAAAAGTTTCTATCGTGAGAGCCTCACCACTTGTACTGTTACGGAGTTTGAATTAATTTGGCGCGACAATTGGATGATTTTGAATGGCCATTTAAAAGAGCCATTCAAGTAGAAGAGAAGAATGGCGAGGCGAGTTTTTATTTTCAAGCATAAAAAAACTGCCCATAAAGATTTTCTCTCACGGTCTTCAAAACCATAAGGAATGAATTTCTCACCATGAATATTTTGGTGACAAAAAGAGAATAATAACTGTATTTTTTCCATGCTTCATTCTTTAAATTTAATATTCAAAATTCAAAATTTGATCATTTTTGGGGCTTGGTGCTGAGAAAGTTTCTTTCTTTCTTTCAAGCTAAAACCATTATCTTGAAATTGAAACAAACTGTTAAAATTGTTTTTGTTTCTTTAATTGATAAAGGAATTTAAAGATGATGTATTTGGAGACACAATGAAAAAAATATAAAAATTGCAAATTTTAAACTTTAAAATGTGCTTTATTACTAAAATTATGAGGCATTTGAGACTCTTCTAATCCAAGCTTTTTTTATTGCAAAACTATTTTTATATATTAATTTCCTCAATTTAAAAGTTTGCCCACCATTAACAAAATTATAATTAATGCTCTTCCCCCAACTTCCGAGTGCAATTATAAAAATCAAACAATATAATGCAGCTTCACTGAGCACCCAGCGCAATATCATCAGAACTGAATAAAAATTGAAATAAATATGGAATTCTCTCCAATGCTTCCCCTGATTTTCCATTTCCTGTCATTGTCCCTGCCGAGTGTGGGTCCGACGTGTTTTGTTCAGTCGGATGGATGCTGGTGGACCACACCTCTCCGACAATCTCCGCACACAAAATGAGGCCGGGATTGTTGTTGATTCGAAATTTAACAGGCTCGACTAAATCTGTGAATCGTCTCGCCGACATATCAGTCAGTAGAGTTTTCATTTCCAATTGGTGCGTTGATATTTTTTCAATACACTCGTTTTTATTTTATTTCACGTTGGTAAGGAGTAGAAATAATTAAGTATTGACGCGTGTGTTGTTTCTGGTTATTTCTTTTTAAACGCGTGAGTTGTTTTTTGTCGCTGCTCGCGCTTATCAAGTTACTTGTACGTGGCGAACGTAATTAGTGAAGGACATGCTGCAGCCATTCATGCCGAGAGAGACAAAACACACATCCCTTTTGTGAATATCGAATATCGGTTACATGTCCTGGCTGCACACCAGCTGCCGTCACTTTTCAGATTTCCGTTCTACAATCTACACCACAACGCATGCAAAACTTTTTACAAAAGCTTTGGAAACTCCATTATTTACGCTTGCAAAAAAAACTATAGTAATTTTTAAAAGTTTTTATGCGAAGTTTACCTGTAATTAAATGAAAGTTTAGATGCTTAATAATAATTTCAAACAATGCCTGCGATCATCTTAATTTTTTTCTTTGCATGAGAAATTATTCATTATTATTCAATTAACCGGATGATGCAAAATATTGTGAAAAGTTTAAATTTTGATTTTTTTTTAGATTTTTGTTTTAAAATTGCATTATTTTTAAAATAATTCTCCACAATTTGAAGGCTTCCTGCGGTTCATGGGTCTTTGAAATCTCAATCTCAGACATTTTTAGCAAAATTCCCAAATATTCCCTTTATTGCAGATGCTGTTTTGCCAAAATCTTAACTATTTGTTCTTCTCTGCCAGCAAATTATTGAAAAAAAAACGATTCTAATTTTAGATTTTTGTTTTTAAATATCTCAACTTTCAAAACATTGAAATATTTCAAATAATTGCGTAAAATAATATAAATGATATTTTTAATTAATTAATATAATCATGTTTAATTTTCCACTTCAAGTACTAAAGTCAATGGACTCGATTATAATTATAAAAATTCAAGAGCACCAACCCGTTTTGTATGAACACAATGATAATCAATTAAGTCTTGAAAGCCTGCATGCAACTTTGTCCTTTCTGCATTATTTTAATTTTATATGCGGGCATGAGTAATATTAAAAATCGACACGGCTGAGAGTTTATCTCGCGTTACAAGAACGCACTTGTCCCCGAGACAACATGTGTTTGATTTGAAAAAAAAGGTGACATGACCGACGCACCTTGACGAGCACAACAAACGCGGCGCTCGTGATAATCGCGCATAATATTTACGCACTGGCAGTCGGAAGAAAATTATCGTCGGCACCGCTTTGCCGTGATGCAACCGTCCGTCAAGCAAAATGCAAACAACACTGCACAAAGTTGCGTATACGTACGTATAGATCGAACATAAAAAAAGGGTTGGTGTTTTTGACCGTCACAGACTGTTGACGTTCCACTCGCTCACAAAAAAAAATAACACACGGTAAAAAACCGAAGAACCTTCAAATGAATAATTAGATTTCCAAATGTTGAAATAATAACGGGACTATTAATTTTGTTAATTAATTGATTCTTAGTTGAAAATCATTATTTATGCACATATTGAGTCTTTTCAATAGTTCAAATTAGGAATGCTTTTTTTCATAAATTTTGACCAAAACTTTTTTATAATTTCTTTTAAAATGACACAGAGATAGCAAGATGTTGAGATATCTTTTAGATATAATCATATAATGAAAAACAATTACATGGTCCTGGTTGGCAATTAATTTTTTTTATAAATGAATACACAAATTTATTATAATGAAAATTGATGAAAATAATAACTTAATGAAACATTACTATTTAAGAAAAGTTCCATTTCAATAGAAATTGATTAAAATGTGAAAATTATAAATAAATATATTTTTTTAATAATAAAACTATTAATAGCTTTAAATACCGTTAAATACAGTATATAAATATTTATAATTTACGTGTGTTTGTTTTACATACAATTTAATTGTTCCTTTTTTTTATTTAGCAAAAGTGGAAATTTAACGGAAGTTTTTAACTAATTTACAAAAATCCGGCATCTTTTGTAATTTCCTTTAAAATTTATGATAAATCATTAGTAACTGGCAATGCATCAAATTCACACTTTTATAATAAATGTCCAATATATTAATAAAACAAAAATTTCTCATACAATAGCTAGCAACTCTTATGAGCGTCTATATAGCGATTTGCAGTATTTGCACCATTGAAACTTTCGCTTTTAAACAGAAACCTCTTCCGTAGCTCCAATTAAGCGTGCAGCACTCTATGCTAATTGCAAAATTGCACCCAACACAAACTCATATATCAGACGCTTTTTATAGTTATTATCTAATTATTGCTGAAAAGGAAAAGTGACCGCGCACTGATGGTTATTGTCGTTGGGCAGGTGTTGGAGAGCGAATCTGGCGGCATCCGCGGCTCGGCGTTTCGCAGCCTCGCGGAGGACGACCCCTCCACGCCCCCCCCTGCGACGACTCACCTGGCCGGCCAGGAGGACCGACGCTCGACGCCGCCGCCGCCGCCACAACCAGTCGCACCGGAGTCTCCGCACCTGTCGGAAGAGCCGTTCGAGCTGCACGTGCACGAAGTCGAGGGCTCGTTGGGATCGCTCAACTCGCAGTCAGAACAGGACGCCGACGAGGGACCATCAATTGGATTACGACTTACAAAGGTGGGTAAATTATTTAAAAATTTATTTGGAAAAGAAAAATTGTTGGAATCTTATATAGAGGTCAATCAAGCACTACGTCATATTAAATTTTTTGTGTAAATTTGATTAATGAATATTTAAAGACTATAAATTCTTTTAATCAATATCAAATTTTAAATTTACTCTAAATAAATACTCATATTTATTGTTGTTCATTTATCTATATTGTTTTTGGGGGGACTCATTGTTTTTATTGGTTTTTATTACGAAAAATAACAATGATTCCGTCCCTATTTCAATTAAAATTAAGGTTAAAACCAAATACTTGAGTTCAAATATAGGGCATTTGAAATGTAAATTTTTTACCTGGGATTGGGCCCAAGTTCCAAAGCTTTTTAAATTCATGGAGAACAAATTTTCAAATTTTTAGTCCCAGTTTAGCTAAAACGTATTGTGCAAATTAAAAATAAATAAAAAGTCTTACTTACAAAAAGACGCATGCTTGTTCACTCTTGCCAACAATTAAAATTTAAGATAGGACCGATTTAATTTCAATGTTTCAGAATTTCGGTACACCTTAAAAATTTTAAGTCAAATTTCTACTCCCTAATTTATTTTTAATTTTGCACTCTGACTTTTAAATGAAGTTACTTGCAAATTAGAGCTAAAATTACGTGCAAAAAATAAGAATCGTTTCATAATGTTACTCCAAAACCTTGGGAAAAACTATACAATCTATTCCTCTGATAATGAACTTAACACAAGGTTCTGTTTTAAGGAAATTCATAAAAATAGCAATATGATTATTGAATAAACCAGTAATAATTGGTTCAAAAATTGATTGTTTTCTCCTCTCCTCTTAAATGGGCAGAGTGAATTCATTTAACTATTTAAAAGTGTAGAAATCTTAAAAAAATTTAAAGAAACGCAAATTTCATAAAATTGTGTTCCTGGAGAAAGAAATTCATGGAAAAAGAAGGACGTCAGATTTTATAAATAATTTTAATCAATCAGTATAAATTTTTAACCATGATTTCAACAGTTCTAACCCGCTGAATTCTGTTAAGGGTGCTGAGGGCGACCCCTGGAGCTACAGCATCAGCACGCGCGAGGCCGATGTTGAGGGTCGCAGGGCAGTGAGTGAGGACCAGATCGAGGTGCACCCTTCGCCGTCGCCCGAAATGCGCAAACACGACTCCATCCTTGACGCGTGGGGTCCGCCGGCCCCGGCCCAGCACTCGCCGATGACGCCGCACCGCAGCACGCACCTCGAGCAACAACAGTTTTCGTCGCCGATGGCGTCGACGGCGTCGCTCATCTCGAGTCAGATATTCACCTCCAGCAAGGTCAAGGTGAGTGTCGACCCTTTGAAAAATAAAAATTCTTTATGCGGGCCCCTCAAGTGACGCACACCTCGCGCTTCCCGATCGGTAATTTATTATTTTTTTCCTTTTCATCCGCGTGTCGTAAATTGTTTGCTTTTTGAGCGTTGTCTGATGACGCAAGGCGAAATTAATGTTATGCGCTTCATTATTATGATCCGTCGGAAGATTTTAACGATTTTTGACCAGGAACTTCTCCGCTGATCTCACTATTGTTGAACAGGTGCGGGGTTTAGTCATGCTGATTTGATCGATTGATGAATTTCTTTAATAAATACCAAGCGTGAGAAAAATTCCAAACCAGAATAAAATAGCTGAATGGACGATTTTAAACAAAATATTTTACATCCTAGACATAAATATCTTAAAATAGGTCGAATCTTGTACGTAGCTTTTAAATGAAATAAATTACAAATTAATTATCACTAAAAAAGTGATAATATTTCTGTTATTTTTGCATTTTTTTAGTTTCAAGTTCATCATACATCAATGATCAAATGAAAATTACGTATTTCCTTAAATTTTGTAGCATTAATAAAAGTTTGAGGAAAAAGCACCTCTTTGTTTGAACTTTGGCAATGATTTGGGGCGGTGAAATTGATTTAGCGATAATTAGAATAATTTTAATCCAGGCCGATATTGAAAGGGGGGAACAAATATTTCAATCATAGTTTAAAAGAAAATATACAAAAACCGCATAATGTACTTTAATCTATGATTCAATCAATTTTCTACGCATGCTTTTGTAACTAATATGAGCTTTATTGAATCCATAAGTTTTTTTTTAATCCTCAAGTAGGAACAATAAGAAATTTTTTACAGAATTTTGTGGCAGAATAGATTGATTTTTATCATTTTATTTTATTACGTTAATTTTGATTTATTGACATTTATAATTATTGATATTAATTAGACTTCTTTTTTTCCTTCTCTTTTGTATTTTAATTTTTTTCTTTTTAGTTTTACTTATTTTGCTACAGTTTGACCTTTAATGAAATAGCATTTGAAACGAGTTGGTGCTCATGAGTAAAAAGAATTCCAGCTGTGAGAGAAAGAAGCATTTTAGCCATTGTGCAGCAGAGCCAAGAGCCATACTGAGGCGATCAACTTTGCTAAAATGGCAATGCGGATGGATGCTGGTCAGACGGCTCTACGAATGCTCGCATTATCGCCGCCGCCGCGCACCATTCTCACTCTCACTGCTCCCATTAGCATAATTCAGTTCCGCCGCGACCGTCAAACTTAATTCGAATCAACGCAATTTATTTACGCGGAAATAAAATAAATTCCATATAAACAGAAATTACACGCAGAGAGGGAAACAAATAGCGTTGAAATTAGACAATAATAATATTAATGACGATTGCAAGAAACGAGATGGAAAATGGCCTATAATTCAATAATAACAAGGACCGTTTGTATCTTTAGACTATAGTGCTGGCCTTGAATCGATTGACGTCACGAGTAGCTTATAATTTTGGCTCTTTAAGAAATTAATTAATTGGTGCGATTTACATCAATTTACAGGAAGAGCAAAAACAATTTTGAATAAGACAACCAGTTTTAAACCAAATTACATAATTATAAAATATTTTTTCCCTCTCAAGGATTCAGAAATTTTACCACATTTATTTTTCCGCTTATCATTTTTTTTTGCAAATATTTAATTTTACTTCTTTTAACATATAATTAATTACACACTTCTAATAACCAATTTATTAATATTATTATTTTTAATTAAATTATATAAAAATATAGATAAGAACATTTAATCCTCTGAAACTGAATTTTTCATTTGTAAATAAAGAAACAAGAACTTTTGTATCTTTTACTTAATGAATTACATTCGTTTCATCTAATAATTGTAAGATTTAACTAGCTCTGTCAGTGAAAAATGGTGTCTGGACCATTGTGGTTTTCGAAAGGTCCTTTCAAGGACATTGTCTTCTCCGTTTGTGGATTGACCGCAGCAATAGCGTTTGATTGTCTTTCTCAGAGAATCCAACTAAGCAGCGACACAAATTTGAGGCTTGTTTCTCTCTTCGGAGGAGAAATTCATAGCAGCATTCGAGGAAAAGCATCTCTTGTCAGAGAAATTGATTCGGACGCCGCGCATTTATATATTTATACATAGAAACCTCTCTTTCTAATAAACAGTCGAGAGTGTCGCGCATTTTAGAAAAGCTCGCCGCCGGAGAAGGACAAAATTGCTGTTGCCTTTTATTGAGAGCCGCGAACAGTAGCAATCACGGTTGTGTTTATGCAAATCGGATGAGTGAGGAGAGGTCGGAGTTAATTATTTCACTCGGACGCGAGAAGTGACGAAATAGCGTCGCCCTTTTAGGCGGAGCAACAGTACGTTCGCGTTTTGAAAGGAGTCGCATGAATACAAATGTCAATTATGCAAATCAAGACGAGCGATGATTCAATTCATTTGAAGCGCACGCTTTCAAGATCGAGACTTGAAGATAAGAAAATATTAAATTTGCTTTCTTTTTTCAAAAATAGTAAAGCACTTCTTAAATTTTATATTAAATTATTCATTTTTCCAAGATTAAATTAAAATTTTAAATACCTAACCAATTTTTTAAACAATGAGAATCGTTTTCACGAACTTGAATTGTTCGGAGCTTTTCATAAATACGATTAAGCGTCATTGTATTTTTTTTTTTTCATCGGAGATCAACGACCACAAAACCCGTGACTTTTAATGAAGCATTTTCCCCACGGCCGCCTCGGATTTCAGCGGTGAATAACAAAAAGAATGGATTTTAGAACCTTGAGTGCTGCGTATGGCTAGAAACAAAACAACTGCGATAAGAAAAAAAATTACAATAAAACATATTCCTGGCGAAGAATAGAAAATGAAATTCAAGGAGAAATGTGACTCATCAACATTTTGCAACTTATGACCTTTGCAATCACTTTTCATCTCAATTGAAATGCAGTAAATTCTAATTGAGCATCAAAAATAAAATCATTGACTTCTCTCCGGAAGTATTTTGGCGGCAGCGTTCAAGCACCTTTGCGTTCTTATCTCTGTTTTCTTACGAGTAATTTATGCACGCAGTTCGGAACTGCCACGGGGCATGGATACACTAATTAAGGAATGGCGAACAAGCAAGTGCACTTTGGCACGGACAGGAAGGAGCCGAAAAGCGGCTTTGGCGGGCGTCGAGGTAACGGACCCTTATTTGGCCCTTGCCCTCGGTCTTCATCATCAGGCGTGTGCAGCCGAAATTGCATTGTCTCCGCCGCACAAACACAAAGCGCCATTAGATTAGAGACGTGACGAAACGCTTCATTATGCGCTTTATAAAAAAAAGCGCGGTCACAATTAGCGCATTGTATTGTCGGAGATGTGCGTGGATCGGGTCGAAAACGCTGCACGATTTGCATTTGAATTCGGAGAGAATTTGGGTTCGGAAAAAGAATCAACAGCTTTCACGATCAACCAAATACCATTATTGGCTCACAAAGTTCTTGCATAAAAGAAGAAGAAAATACAGGAAATTATAGTATTTTCTATAAAAGTAAACTTCTCATTTTCTTTCGTCAATTTAAATTTTATTAAATCAAATTTATTTTCAGTGAAAAGTATTTTGCTTTGAATTCTGGTCATTTCATACTTAATAAATTTTGCCGATAAATAAGTCATTTTTTAATCAAGTCTCATTCGAGCATTGGACTCTTTAAACTTCAGAATCTTTATGGTAATTTGACGATTTAGGAAGAATATAAAATAACATTTAATGAATTTAAGATTATTAAATCTAAAATATGAAGAAAAAATTAAAAGTGACAAAGAAATTACAAATAATTTAATAGAGAATTTATAATTTGCAGTCCAGTTATTGAATATTAAAGAATTTTAAATTTATATTTTTTTTAGAAAGTGAAATCATTGGCTAAGAGTATTCGGCATAGTCAAATCAAATAAACTAACGCAAGCAGTTTACAAATACCTCGATCAATTTGTTTTTCAGACACATGCACGATATTGACACAGTTACTCTCTGGCTTCGCGTAACGCAAATTAACTTTTCAGGACACAAATAATAACAACTTGGCAATATTCTTAATATTCTCTCCTCGCACGATTTCCCCTGTGAAGAGTTTCGATTCTAGAAAAAAATATGCTTTTGAGAGACCTCGAAGTGAACTTTCAGTGGCACCGTTCGTGGTGCATGCATTTGTTTTCATTAAATGGCTGCGCGCTCAATTTCATGCCAAATTGCAGAGAAATTTCTGAGCACGCGCCTTGCAAAACGTAAAAAAAAAAATGCAATATTGACATACAAAGGAAGCAAATAATCGGGGCGACGCGATAGCACGCTTGGAAGAAGCGATTCCTATTGGCATTGGAAATGAGAAGCGACGACGCACGTTTAGCTGATTTATTATGCAATATTCTCGGACGCGACGCTTTAACCTACAAATACGCGGCTTGAGAGCGATAACTATTATTGCAGCGAAGTTCGGACACGTCCTGACCTTCGAGAATGTATGGATATTTGAAATATAAGAAGCACAAACACTAAAAAGACGATTATTATTTTAATTTAAAAATGCAAAATTTAATAGAAATCTCGTTTGATTGGAAATTTTAATAGTAGAATGTAAATTCATTTTTATTATAACTACGAAATATAAATAATTTTGTTTCATTGTTTATTATTCAAATTTAAAGTTAGCATTTCCAATTGGTTTTGACAACACTTCATAAAACTGACCTTTTTTGTGAAAGCGAATTCTTTTGTGAATTTTTAACGCGCAGTAGTTTAAGAAATAGAGCCCCTAAGAGAATTCAAGTTATTTTTAGCAATTTTAAGTACACAGAAAGCGTGGATTTTTAATAAAATTAGAGGGTATTTAATTTTTATTTTCAACATAACAAAAAAGATTATGATTATACCGATTATACAATATATTATTCTAATTAACTAAGGAAAATATTAAAAATTTTAATACTCTTTTTTTTTATTATAATTCAGTTTAACTTCTTTTTTGAAATAAAAAAAATAAACTCTCATTTTTCTCACTTTCAGGTAAAAAAATTTGTGATTTTAAACTATTCTAAAGCTAATTTAATTATATAAAAAAAGTATATGAAAATAAATCATAAAATAGGGTTGATTTCAGTTGAAAGTGGTTGAGCTCCGTTCTTTATCTTCACGGTTGAATGTTCTAAATTAGGCCTAGTTTTCGTTCTCACGTCGAGCATCCTGGCCACACATTATTCAAACACAAGTAGCTCGCGAGACGAAAACACGGACCGAGCAAATATTAACTCTCTAACCTCGTGTAAATGTGCGTTTGAGAGTGGCGTTTGAAAATTAGATAAGATTAGGGAGAAACGGGAGCAAAACGCGGCGACGGCAATTTCCACATTTCTCTGAAGGTGAATTCACGTCTCTACGAGGGCAAAAAACTCGCTTGCAGGTGCGGGTGATTGGCCACGTTGCGTCCCGAAAGGCCAACGACTCAAAATTAGACGATTTATGCAAACACCGACGCTCGCTCGACCGCCAATTCGATTCATTTTCGTGTGCCGCAAACCGAAAACGAACTCGATTAAAAAAAAAACCTCTTATGCAACAACGTGTGGTTGGAAAAAAGCGATGAAATTAAATCGAGGATAAATCGTCACCGCAGATAATGCTAATTTATTACGAAATCGGTTCGCGGTGCAATGGAGCGAAAATGCGCGGCTTCGTTTGGGTGCGAATGGATGAAGAAAAACAATTGAGAAGAAGAAGAAGCGCTGCCAAGGTCGGAGGAGGTGGTGATTTGATTGTGCCTTTTGCAGACACTCGGCCGCATCTCCTCTCTTCAGCTCGGAAATTACCACAAAAGAGGAGCTTCAAAGGATGCGCCAAACCTTTGCCCTTGTTCCGTCAAATTTAACGCCGGCCTTTGTTTTCCTGGTTTGCTATTTGCAATGAGTTGCTTAAATCGAGGCTTATTGATTGGCTCTTTTAATAAATTATCCTTCAATTTAAATTCAATGTGTTTTTTGTTATAAACAAACAATATAAATAAAGGGGGCAGGAGATCAAAAGTTGACAAACTTGACCCAAAAATAAAAACAACAAACATATAAAAATAAAATTGGGGAAAATCTAGCATTTTAAATTTATAGCCCAGATTGTAAAATAAAGATCTCAAAATTTAACCAATCCATAGTTATCCTCGGCAACGATCAAAATTTGCTTTTATTGTTGTGATGCGTGAACCTTGGACTAAATAATAATCACAACTAGCAAGTAGTTCATACATATTTATTTTTTGTTATTAAAATTATGGTTTTATTCTTCTTTTTAATAAAATTGGGTTAAATAAGAGATAATTTAGTCTATTTGGGCCACTTTACAAAAATGAAATTCACCAATTACTTACTCCTCGATTCTTACGTGCAAAATTACCGCATTACACTTTTCCGTCAAGTCACTCGTTCTGCACAGCTTGAAGCTTTTTGTCCGCGCCGACGACAAAAAAAACTTGGCAATCCGCGCGCGGAATTACGCAATTAAGGTAAAATTCAATGTCACGAGCGCGTCGATTAAAGTTTTTTCTTCCTGCGAACACGCGCAATTGTCTTTTATTCCGCAACAAATGCAAAAAGATCCAGCTCGGAATATAATATAGAATTTTCACAACGTCTGTGTCGATTGGCGCCGAGTGGAAATAAATTTATAAATTAGATTCAGATTGTGTTTTGATACTCCGGCTGCTCAAACTGTCGCGGCCGAGTTTAATAATAAGCCGTGGCCAAAGTGACCAGGGGCGATTATAACGAGAAAAATTAGTGCCGGCACGAAGCAGACCAAAATAACAGTTAATTCAATCGAAAGACCGGCCGGATTTCAGTGCTTATTAAATATACGAAACCGTATATTAATCATATGGTGTTTGCGATCACGGCTGATGAACATGCTTATTTGAAATGCTGATGAGCAAGGGATTAAAAAACTCTTCCTGATAACTGTTTTGAAAAGATAACAAGAGCTGTAAAATTAGATAGTGCAGCTGCGTTAGTCTTCAATCAATCTTTAAATTGAAGTATAAAAAAAAAGAAGTAAATAAGGGAAAAAAATTTGAATAACACAATTTAATCGTTCAATTTTTAATAAAATGTTAAACGTTACAGTTTATTGAATTGGAGAAAAATTAATTGGTCAGGAAAAAAATCCAAATTCATGTTTAAAAAAAGTAACGAAATAAAACAAAAATGTTTTAAGTGAAAAATTTGTCCTTTTGTAAATTGCTGAGAACTTCTATTATTTTTATTAAAAAGTAAATAAAGAAATTAATAAAATCACACAGACAGAAAATTAAAGAACGCTGAATTAAATATAAAAAAAAAATTGCTCAAAAAGCGCAAAAATTTGATAGTAAAAATATTATTTGAAAAATAAAAATTCTTAATTAAAGACGGCAAAATGTGTGCGAAATAAAAACTCAATTACTGTTGTGAAGGTTTTTGTCGTTGAAATTAAATAGTGTTCAATATAAAAATATAATTATAAAGATAAATTTGTAATTCTGCATAATTTTCTTGCTTGTTTCAGTTAAAATTAGGCTGGCTGACTGGCGTGGCGTCAATTTTAACCGCGATTTCGGCGGCAGTGTCGTTAGGCAACATGCTTCGCCTCCCCCGTCTAGTCCTTCTCCACGGCGGCGGTGAGCAATTTTGAATTAAATCTCCCAATTTAAATAATTTCTAAACTGGTAATCGTATCGCGACAGGCCCGTTTTTGGTCGCCTACTTGGTGATTCTCGTGGTAATTGGCCTGCCGTTGGCCTTCCTGGAGATCGGCCTTGGCCAGTTTTGTCAGCAGGGATCGCTGCAGATCTACCGAGCTGTGCCTCTGCTCAAAGGTATTTTTTGCACGACGAAAGTGGTGAGCAATTTGGCAATTATTTGTATTATTTGTTGTAGGAGTGGGCATCGTCAAGTTGATCGCGAGTCTTTTGATGAGCGCCTACTACCCAGTCATCATGGCAATTTCGTTTTTCTCGCTCATCTGGAGTGCCAAAGGACCGATTCCTTTCACCGAGTGCAATCAGAAGAAGTTCAGCTCGCACTTCTATGATTATGTGGTAATTTTTTTTATTACATTTAGTTTTAAGATTAACTTGTCAGTGTTTTTTTTCTAATTATAATACATTTGTGCATCAAAATGAATTATATTTGCTTATTTTTATGCTCAAATCATTATTTTTTAGTTAAAATTATTATTTATACCGTCACAATTTTTTCAAAAACAATGGAGATTGGAAAAAAATCAGTGTTTTAGGTTTTATATTTTTAGTTGAAAAAATTTAATTTAATTGATGCTATTTAAAATTTCTTCTTTTAGGAATCCGAAGCTTTGACGATGTCAAACACAAACAACACGGAAGGGATTCTACAAGGAGAAAACTGCTTGAAGTATGAAAATTTTGATATTTTAGAAAATTAATTTTGCATATTTTAATTTTTTTTAACAGCATTACTATTTTGAAATCACCTCAAGAAGATGCAATGTGGCTAGGAGTGAATTATGCGCTGCTATTTCTTCTCTGGGCACTTCTCACTTTGAGGTAAAATTAATTTGCATTTTTAAGTTGTGATTAATTTAAAACTCTTGAAAATTTAGTCAGTGGGGTAGCACTTTGTGGCAGCGAAGAACGATGCTGCTGACAGTGCCCGTCGGATTGGGACTCTTGATTGCCATTTTGGCCCAAGCTGCCTCTCTCGATCTTGGTTCGTGGCCTTTGGATTGGTCCAACTGGTCTGGACTTTTGGAGCCCAAGGTGGGAATATATTTTAATCAAGGGTTAATTATTTTAATTAAAAAATTTAAATTTATTTCAGATTTGGTACTTTGCAATGGTGCAGGTGTTTTTCTCAACGCAGATTGGGTTCGGCGTCAATATCACCAACGCAGGCAAGATCTTTCCCAAGAAAAATGCATTTTGGTGAGAATTTATTTTATAATAAAAATTTATTCACCGATTTCATTAATTAAATTTACTAGAGCTTGTAAATTCTAGATTGACAAAATCAGCTTTTCCCGCATGTTCAATGCAAATTTTGAGGTTGATTTGTTCTATTTTGAGAAGAAAATGTTTTAATCGCATTAGAAATTTCATTTAATAAGAAACAATCATCATCAAATTCAAAACCTAATTGAATTCTGAAAATTTTCTTCCTTTTTGATTTACCAGAATGTCTGTTATTTGAAATTTTTAATTCCAGGGTTGCACTGGGCATGATTTTCTGCAACATAATCGCCGCCCTCGGTGCTGTGTGGGTCGCGTGGTTGTGGCTCAAGCGCAGTTCGGTGAAGCCTCCAACGAGTCTGAAGTCGGACATTCCCGAATTGGTCGTGCTGTCCCTTCTGTTGGACTACGCCGGGTACACGGTGGACATGCCAGACAAAAGGCTTTGGGCGGCTCTGGCCTGCGCTCTGCTTCTGATCGCCGGCTTCGTCAGCACGGTGAGTTGCTTGCGATTTTAATTTCAACGCGAAATGACCGGTTACGCTGATGAGCGGATAAACGCACGAGTGCTTTCACTAGAACGCAATTTGATACATATAATTGCAGACGTCGCTGCTGTACTCGGTCATAACGGCGATCGCTTCCGAAACACCTGCCGAGAAGCTCCGGCGCTGGCACATTGTGGTCGCCGTGTGCGCCGTGGGATTTGTGGCCGGCGTTTTGATTTTTGTTCCTGTGAGTAAAATTTTTACACCGCCAATTTTTTTCATGTCACAAAAATTTAAAATAAAATGAAAGATAAAATTTGTTGCGAAACTTGAAAAAAATGAAGTTTTATTAGTAATTTTGATAATTTTATTTTAAATTTTTAGGAGAAAATAGAATTCGTTCACTTGCTGGACCACTACGTCATTGGGAGATTAATAATGGCCACTTGCATTTTGGAGCTTATCGGATTTGCATGGATATATGGTAAGAACTTATACAAATTTTATCAACTGTTTTTTCCAAATTATTATTTTCAGGATGCGAAACTTTGTACAACGATTTTGAATTTGTGCTTGGCCAAAAGATGAACAAAATTTGGAAATTCATTTGGATTTGTGCTCCCGTAGTGTTACTTGTAAGTTAGAAATTTTTTAATAAGTTTTGTATTGATTAAATTTTTATGAATCACAGGCAGTCGAGCTTTGGTCCATATTTGCTCTCCCGTTGAATGGCCTCCCTGAGGGCCAAGGCACTCAACACCCTGACCCGGAGTGGGTGACCATCACGGGTTGGACTATTTACTTGTTGATGTGGGTGGTGGTCCTAGGATCGGCGATATGGACGCTTGGCCACCAAGTTGACTACAATTTCACCGACGTAATAATTATTTTTATTTAAAAAAAGAAAAAATCTATTTAATTATATATATATTTTTTTTTTAGAAATTGAGGAGTTCGATAAAGCCGACGTCGAAATGGGGACCTGCTGACCCTCTGCACAGACACGGCTGGGTGCGGTGGCGGACGCAATTTTCCACGACAGGGCGAAAGGACTTTACCCTGCGCAGAAGGGGCACCAGGGACTACACGCACTCGGCGAGGGCTTCGCCAAACACAACGCTCGTCAGAACGCCAAAGAAGGCCAATGGACCTTCGCCCCTGGCCACGTCGACGCCCGTCGCGCCCATGCCCTGGCAAACAAACCCGTCTCCGTGACAGACAAAAGCAAGAAGCAGTGCATTTCGATCCTATGCACACCGTCAGTGCCAATGAGTGAAAGATAATTACTAGTGGACTCTAGTGTGTAAGTGCGCCGACTGATTTTGTAATAAATATTTCTAACAAATTTCAAACCTCAGGTGTTTAAATTGATTTCATTCGAAAGTATAGAACAAAATTTAAAAGATTAATTTTGACTTTTATTATTTAATGCATGTTTACGACGAATAACTGAAACTGGTGTCGTAAGCTTTGCTATTGACTTGCTTCAAAATCGCTCTCAACGATTTGCCCGGACCGCATTCGAAAGTTCTCGGAAAGCTCTCCCCTTCCGGCCGCTCGAAGAGCACGTGCAGAGTTTGTTCCCACTTCACTGGTTTCACAATTTGCAAGGGAAGTAGTTTCCGAATTTGTTTGGCGTTGCTGTAATACTTGCCGTCAACGTTCGAGTGCACATAAACCAGCGGATCCTGCACCTGGACTTTCCTCAGGGCTGCTTTGAAGGGTTCCAATGCGGGCTCCATCAGAGGGGTGTGGAAGGCGCCGCTGACCGGAAGGCGCCTCACTTTTCTCAGATTAAATTTGGATGCGTTTTTGGCCAGAAAATCCAAAGCCTATGGGAAGGGAAAATAATAAATTAAATTTTATTTACAAATTCAAAATGTAAGGATTAGAGGGAAAAGAAAAAGAGATATTTCAAAAATTAATTCTATTGGGACACAAAATTTAGAATTTAGTCAGGTTTTTATTTCTTAAATTAATTGAAAAGGTAATAGAATGACCAATTTAATAACTTTCTCTATATATAAAAGGATCTAAATCTTGTACTTTTTAGTTTAATTAAAAGTTTTTACTTCCAATTAATTGAATTATTAAAACTGAAGATCAGAAAATATTTCAACAAAAATAAATTTGCCAATTCAATTAAGTAAATTACATTAATATTATACAAAAATTACCTCAACGTTGCCTGCGACAACTTTGCAATGTGGGTACAGATAATTAGCCACTTGACAAACAGGTCTCTCTATCCTCCTTTCCAAGCAGTGTTCCACAGCTTTGTTGCACGCAACTCCCAATTGAGAATCAGGCCCGTAAATGACCGTGGCCATTCCCGAGTTGACCATTTCGGACGCGTACTGCATCCCCTCGGCTCTGGCCCTCACCAGTTTGATGGCTAAAAATTAATTGTTCAGTTTAAACGTGTTTTCTTTTCAAATTCAAGGTACCGTACCACTTTCAAAAGATATTGCTCCGGCAAAAATGAGGGCTGTGATCTCGCCTATGCTGAAACCAGCTGTGGCAACACATCCTTCGATGGCCGAAGGTCTCTCCTCTTTGAGCCACTCAACGGCCGCCAGTGAAGACACAACAACCGCCGGCTGGCAATACTTGGTTTCGTCCAACTTGTCCTTGGGACCTTCGAGGCAGAGTTTCAGGAGGTCGTAGTTCAAAATTGAGCTGGCGGCTTCAAAAAGGTCCTGCACCAAACGGAACTTGAGGAGCTCCTTACACATTCCCACGTACTGCACGCCCTGACCAGGGAAGATTAGGATTGATGTGTCTGAGGGATTTACTTTTGGCCTGAAATTTAAAAAAAAATTTATTGCAATAAATATACAGGGCTAATAATTTGAAATTAAATTAATAATTTTTTTACTGAAACACATGCCTAAATGCATGACCAGCCTGGTTTCTTTCTTTGAGGCGCCTCTCCAGCGACGGGTCTTCTTTGTACGGATTCGTTTGCCATGTGTGGTCCGGGCCTAGAAAATCTTGCGGGTATCCGACGGTCGAATGTTTTAATAGGTTTTGCACCTCTTTTGTGTTCAGGTCTGTGTCACCTCCACCGTCGGCAGGAGGTTCTTTGTTGCCTCTGGACCCTCTGGCGTAACTTCGGCAGGAAAGCTGCACCGCCGAGACTTGGCTCTTGAATATTTTACTCGACTGATTGTAAAAGTTTATAGCTTCACGGTAGACGCGAATCCTTTGTCCAAAAACGCCGGACATTCTGCGAAATTCGGAGTACACCACGGATCGGAAGATGAGGCAATAATAATCAATGCACAGCCTCGAACATAAACTATCGTAAACAAAAACACGTGCCGCCGGCTGAAGGGGAAAGGGGGCGTGGCGCGCAAAAAAGGTCACAACAAAAAGTTGCTCGGACGTGGAGCAAAATTGAAAACGCTTCGCAGCACCTTGAGTTTCAATCTGGTGTCACAGCATCCTTGCAGATGAGGGAATTTTCGACCTGAAAGGGCGAGCAGAGTTAATAGATTGGAGAAAAGTGACGAAGGAAGACCGGAAAATAAAATTTTTGTTGAAAAATGGCTGTAATTATTTTCCCGACTCGGAAAAAATTGGCGTGATTTACATAAAATTCTCGATTTGCAGCCTCAACAAAAAGGCAAGCAAGGCACGAAGGGCCAGAAGCAGATTGTGGAGGAAAACATTGCAACCCTGAGCTTTTACAGAAACATTGCCTTAGGAGCGACTGGTGCTTTTGCCCTCGTCACTGGCATCTTCTTTGAAATTTTCACCACCTCAAATATTGTGAGTGAATTCAATAATTTTGGCGTTGTCACGTTATTGATAATTACAAATTTTCAGATATTTTTCTTGATTGCCTCTGGAATTTACACTGGCTGCTACATGTTCATGGGAATGATGGCGAGAGCAACATTCACCGAGTCAGGGCAACTCATCGACTCGGGACTTGACTTGAACATGCAGGACGGAGTTGCCGAGTAAATTCAAAATCTACACCGCTGAAATATTAACTAATTACTATTAATTTCCCAGGCATGTCAAGGACCTTGTCATCCTCACAGCTTTTTGCCAAGTATTCTCTCTCTTCTCAAACTACAGCTGGTTGTTCTGGCTTCTGGTAAAATAATTTTACACGAAATTATATAATTGTTACCACTCAACAATCTAGGCGCCTGCTCGAGCACTTTGGCTTCTTTGGGGAAGCGTCATCCAGCCGTGGCTCACATCGTCAAATGAGCAGCAGCAACCAGAGATGGACGAGAAGAAGCAGAAAAAATTGGACCGGAAAATGAGACGCATGCAATAACGGAAATAAAGAGATGTTCAAATTTGCCAACCATTACCTCCGAATATTTTCAATAAATTGGGGGTTGTAATAATAATAATGACAGTTGACTGAAGCTCTGGTCATGTCCAGGAGCAAGTATGTCTTAACTCTGGAAGTATCTTAGCCATCCTTTGTGACATATCTTTGATACGGAAAGATGTCTTGCAAATAATTGTACTTAAAAATTTGCCACTTTACTCCGATCGGCTTAATTATTTCCTTATTGGTCTTATATAAGTTCATTTCCATAGCTTTACACAATTAGTCAGCGTCAAAAGTGAATGCGTCATGCTTGCATTATTTTTTTTTTTATCTTGGACCTGTAAATAACAAACACTACCAGCAGACAATGGGATGTTTTTTCAACGACTTTCCTTATTAGGATAATTTTCGTCATTCTGCTTCACATTTAATATTATTTCTTTGGAGATTTTTTTTTAATGTTCCCATGTTATAATTGCTCAATGAATTTGTTTCAATTTCCACAATAAAACAATGGAAACAGAATAAATGTTTGTACTTTGGTTCAATCAATCAAAAAATAAAAGATTTCGTTTTCCAAGGGATATGACTGTGTTGAAATAAAACATTTGGTATCTTTGAAAACATTTTATATTTTCATAACACATTACAAAATATGTATTTACTTATTATAAAATAGCTTTAAATCATCAGAGATATTTTAAGGTATTTCCTCATTCATTTTGCTCAGCTAAATTAGAAACACAAAACTAAACGAGTTTGAATCAATTTCGCTTTTTTCCTGTTAGTGCCAACCAAAGATTAAAAAACAGGGAGAACTAAAACATTTGTGGCAGTGCATGTGACGGTACAACCAATTTTGAACAGAGACGAACAATTAAACAGAAATCAAAGGAAATTCAATTAATTTTGTGTTAGCGGACAACATCTTTTTAAAGTTTCATCTTTTTTTCTGGAACAATGAAATACATATTTCTCTTTGTGCACGAAATGAATTTTCAAAAATAATAAACATCGCTTGCTCCGAAAATTCAGCTCTTATATAGGTCTGGAAGATTTTTTTAGTGGATTTTCTCAACGTGTTTTTTTTTCTCAATAATTTTCAGCAGTAATGCAAAGCCTAAAGCTAGAGAAGATAAATAATAATATTCCTTACAACTACAATCATCAAAGCATTTCGACCCTTTCAGGCGTGGCATTAAAAGAGACAGACGCTACAGGATTCCATAAACATTCACTGGATAGAGTCGGAAACACAAATGGGCGAGCAGCTCATTCGGTTACATTAAAAATTAACCTCGATATAGTATTATAATAATAATCATTATCATTATTGAAATAGCAGTGTGTGTGTTAGTAGAAGTCGACTATAATTCCACTGATCCTTGCTGTATGTGTGTGTTTCGAGAGGAAGTACAAGATTGATTCATTCCATCTTGGCAAAAATAGAAAAATAATTACAACTGCATATTGCTCTAATCATAGTACAACAACAGCGATATTCAAAAACTTCGGTTGATAGAAACCTTATGCGAATCTTACTCGAGCACATAAAATTACCAAGAGTTTCCTTTTCGTTCAAGCACCAGATCCGGGCTGGCGGTTGAAGAAAAGCTTCGGACCTCGTCGTGGCTGCACCCACGCAAATTAGCAAGGAACAAGAGGCTTGACCAAACTGGAGGGCAATTCCAAGAGGCTCGTCCAGCCGATCGACTGATCTTTTGGCGTCCCGGAATCGACCCTCCAGGAAAACCGAATTTTTGTGTGTTTGTCAGTGTGGATTTTTTTTGTTTGTTTAGTACGTTTTCAATTATTTGTTATTGATTTATTTTGTTGCAGCAGTATTAAAGAGACGACAAGAGAAGGAAGGGTTTACAGCAGACAGCACTTGCTCTTCTTCTTCTTCTTGACTTGCAAGGCGGCCCTGGTGGCCGTCTCGAACACCTCCCGCACGCCCTCCTTGCTCTTGGCCGAGCACTCGAGGTAGTCGAACGCGTTAATTTTCTCGGCCATGACGCGGCCCTCCTCGGGCTTGACCGGCTCCTGCTTCATCTTGGCCAGCTCCTTGATGGTGTTGGGGTCGTTGCGCAGGTCCTTCTTGTTGCCCACGAGAATGATGGGCACGTTCGGACAGAAGTGCTTCACCTCCGGAGTCCACTTTTCCGGGATGTTCTCGAGCGAGTCCGGGGAGTCGATCGAGAAACACATGAGGATGACGTCCGTGTCCGGATACGAGAGTGGCCGCAGTCTGTCGTAGTCCTCCTGGCCGGCCGTGTCCCACAGGGCCAACTCGACCTGCTTGCCGTCCACCTCGATGTCGGCCACGTAGTTCTCGAAGACGGTCGGCACGTACACCTCGGGGAACTGGTCCTTGCTGAAGACGATCAACAAGCAGGTCTTTCCGCACGCACCGTCGCCGACTATGACCAGCTTCTTACGGATTGCCGCCATGATTGCTGCTCCTTGTTATGGCTGCGCTTATCTGGACCAGCTTTCAACCGCTCTCTGGCCTTCAATACGCCGCACCGCACCCCTCTCACCTCGTGCGCCCCTGCAATAGTTCAAGACACAACGGATTAGTCGGTCCGACGTCGTCGATCGCCACTATTTACGTGTCAAATTCGCCTTTTTCTCCAACAGGAAAATGAAGATGAACGGTCCGTCGGGTGTATTCACTTGAGATAATAATTAGCTGCCAACACACCGGCACGCCCTGCCGACGAAACCGCCCCGATTTTGCCACCTCAATCTCGAGTCCCGAACTCAAATTTGAACTTTTTCTTCTCCTTTCGGTACTCGAGGGTGAAATGTGTCGAAATTCGGCCGTTTGTCGGCTGGAGGACGGAAATAAAAATCAAAAGGAATTTGACGGGTGCGGCGTTAGGTTGGCAACGAATGCGGTGAATAAGCTTTGGAAAAAACGACCACCCGCGATTGGCGCGCCGCCTGCACTGAAACAGCCGAAACCACGCTCGGCACTCGGGCCGCGCCCCTTGTCCTTGGGCGACCAGCTGGCCGACCCGAACGTAGGTTATTCCCGAAGATTTCGACCGATTTTACACAACAGCATGAAGCCAAATTAGCGAACTAAAATTAAAATGAGACCAAGCGACGAAACAACGGCCACACCGACAGATAGTGATCGCTTGCTACGCCTACCCGGCCTATAAATAGCCCACGGAAGATAAAAATCGGCGGTCGGATAAACGAAAATTCGCAGCCATGGATATCCTGCACATGATCTCTGATGTGCTCAGCATTATCACCATCTCGCTATGTCTCATCCTTAAAGTTCCTCAAATCCTTAACCTTTACAAACTCAAGTCAGCCAAGGGCATGAACCTTCCTGGTCTTTTCTTGGAGTTGACAAGGTGAAATTTTCATGTAAAACTCTATGTTTAAAAATTTACTTTGTTTTATGTTTTGATTTTTTTATAATAATATTAAATTGAAAATAAAATTATTTGTTCTTTTGATTTCAGCTACACTGTCATGACCTGTTACAACTACTGCAACAACTATTCGCTCATGTCGTACATGGAATATCCGATCATCCTATTCCAAGAGCTCATCTTGATCTTCTTGGTTCTGAAATACAAAAACCTCGTCAACACCACCAGTATCGCCGGCTTTGGAGTCTACCTGGCAATTTTGGCAGCTTTTGCTCTTAGAATTGTGCCCACGGTTGTTCTCTCGTTCATGGCTGTGAGTATAAATTCTGGTTGTCACACTTTTGTACTTTTAAGGCTTCAATTTACGCACGAAGAGTCACAATCTTTACTTACAACCCTTCTTTTGCAGCCCCTGTGCACTCCAATCTCTGCCTCCAGCAAAATTGTCCAACTCGTTGCACTTCTGCGTAGCAAAGACTCCGAGTCCATCAGCGTTCTCACATGGTTCCTCTCTGCCTTTACTAACTTTTGTAAGTACCTCATTATCATTTTCTCTCAATCATCGAAAGAAGCAAAAATTTGTTTACAAGAAATTTAATTAAAAAAATATTTTCATATAAAAAAAGATTATAATCTTTAAGAAATTTTTGTTAATCTAAAGAAATAATTAGTTTTTATAATTTTAAACCAAATTTAAAAATTCTTGCAAGTGGTGATGGAAAAATAATTATTTCAGCACGTATTTTCACCATCTACTTGGACTCGGCCGACTTGACTTTGCTGACGAACTTTGGCATTTCCACATTCCTGAGCACCTCCATGATGGTTGCCACCATTTATTACAAGAACCCAAAGAAGGAAAAAGAATTCTGAAAAGTCATCACTCTTTTGACAAAAAGCATCACTACTAATCACGCTTGCCATAATTTTTTCTTATCTTGTTGCTAACGTTTTTTGTTTGTTCCTATTATTTTTTTTGTCACTTCATTGAAACGAACGAGTCTTCGTTAAGATTGATTTATTCTAATCAGACGATTATTTGCTCACTTGACGTTTATACGCTTACGCAAGCAGAATTAAATATTAGTCAATGTATTATTTTATGAATGAGCATTGGGTATGTTGAACGTACCCTTGACAGTATTTTTTGCCAAAGCTTTTTTGCCTAATTTTCGCACTGGACTGTTTTATTGACGCCCTTTATTGCATCACAAGTATTAGATTGAATTTATTGTAAATTTGATGTTTAGGATTTATTTTACTAAAAACTGATCAAAAATGCAAATATTTTGCTCTCTTGTTGCTAGCAATAATATTTATTGAATAAGGCTGTATTTTTATCATTGAAACACGAGGAGGCTAATAAAGAAATTTTACCCATCAAAATTAATCGTAATTTTTTTTTATATTAAAATAATTTGAGTTAGTTTTAAGCATCACTTTTATTGCAAATTAAGTGAGAAGGATGCGGCCAATGTTGTGGCGCTCTCGCTTTGCCGCATTTGAGAGAAATTTTTGCGCCAGCGCCGAACGACTGGGCGAGTTGTTTTGCCGGTGAGCTCAAGAGTGGAGTTGTGCCGGCGCGCGTTGCCGGGAGCGGATGCGAGCGAGGGTCAGTCTTGGTGCTCGGCGAGAGTGAGTGGTCCTCGGCAGCATGCGGCTTCAAAGGTACGAAATTCCTCCGTCCTGAAATCACCTCTTGTTGTGACTAATCGATCTTGCTGTGATTCATCGACGGAACATTTTGCCAATTCTACGTGTTTATTTGCGAGGAGTGGGAATCTTGCTACACATTATTTTGATTATTTCCTCGCGCACATGGCTCTTCTGGCTGGGGTTTGTTTTGGCTCTTCAATTTATTTACTCGGCCTTCGACCAAGCGCCAATGCACTTTGCGCATTTTGCAACCCTTCTTGTTGACGGGTTAATGAGGTTCAAAGCGGAACATTACAACTTGCCAAAGATGGTTTAATTTTAATATAATTTACTCAATTTCACAAATTAAAAAATATAAATTAATTTTAACCATTTTTTAAAATAAAAAATTGTTTTAATTATCTTTAATAAATTTTCTACCTTTAAATATTGTTTTAATTTTGAAAACTTTATTTGCCGTTTTTTGCCAACTGGAAAGAGAAAGTTGAAAAGATAAGTGTAAAAAAATTCACCCTAATTTTGTACAATTTTATCGCTCCGCTGCTGAAAATGAAATATTAAAAACTGTCAGGCTTGTATAATTATGAGAGTGGAATTCAGGTCGGTTCGCAGAGAGACCATTTGCTCTCTGTCGGTCCGAGTTTTTATTATTCATTTCCACTGGTCCCTGCGCTCCGAACGCAGCAGAGGATTATAAAAAAAGACCTATAGTGTGATGGTCTAGTCTCATCCTCGACCCTGGATCTGGGCTCCAGGCTAATTTTCAACCTTCGTGTGTGTAGCCCAGTAACCCAGTCAAAAATATAAAACAAAAGAAAACGGCGCTGGACTGTATTATAAAAGAACTGCAGGAAGTGATTGCCATGTTTTCGAAATGGGCCAGAGTGAATGTGCGTTTTGTGTACGATTTCATCGCGAGTAAAAGCGATTTGTTTGAATTCACAGATGATGTGAAATTTACGACTTTGGCTGAGCAATAAATATGACTGAAATTTAGCGAATCTGGCAGGCGAGAAATTCAAACGCAGACTCATCCTAAATTAAAGTCTTTCGCACGATCTTGGACGTCAGAAGGAGTCTTTTTGTTAAACCATCTTTATGGATCTTATGGATCCTAAAAAGTTCGCGCAATGTTTATTTAATAAAAAAAAAAAATACAAACATCACACAAAGGAACTCAAGAAAGTTTGAAAGGCGAGCGCATAAGTAAATTATTCCTGACCGCATAAGTTTTAGTGTAAAAAATAAAACAGATTTATATTATTTAAATTTTTATTTTTATCTTTTTTATAATTTTCTTGTTAGTTTTTTTAAATATAATTACTTATTATTTAATTAATAATTGGGATTAATTTTGATTAAATTAATAAGGGCAACGCAAATAGATCGCGCCCTCATTTTACATATTTGTAATCATTAATTTAAAATTTTAAAAATATTTTGGTTTAAATAATTTAAAACCAATTGTCACTGTTAATGAAATTCATAATTTGGAAAAAATTGAACTACTTTCTTCTGGTCATACACCCTTATAATTATATCTCAGTAATAATTACTTCTCAGTGGCTAAAATTCAGATTGCCAACAAAAGTATTTTGTATCACAATTTTGAAGCCGTTTCAATAAATTTCCTTTTTCTTTAATCATTCTTCAGAGCTTAATGCGAATTTCGAACAATTTTCATGGGTTAAATTAGAGCCACGAGAAAATCACACTTCATTTGTGACCCTTGTTGTAATTGATCGATTTCCCTCACGCCAAATTTAACTCTAGAAATTCCGCGAGGAAGAGGATCAAGAGCAAATTCCCATCACAAATCCAAGGGTGGTTTTTTTCTCTTCATTGTTCTCTCGCGGCGCCGATCACTCTTTGCTCCAAATTACATCAGAGGAAAAGCGCGTCTTTGGCGTTGCCAAAATTGTTGGGGCCTATGACTTCTCCGTCTCATGGCAGGGTTCAAGAACTTCCCTCGAGATAATAATAAGTCTCCCTCTTCGTCCATTAATTCTTTGCAAAGTGTCATCCGTCCCTGTAGCTTCTTTACTCATTAGACACGCCCGAGAGAAGATTGTTGGCAAAGTCTCGCCAAGCTCGGCATTTGGAAAAGCAAACTCTCTTTAGTTCATTCTTATATTTTGCGGCGCCGCTTTGTTTTCGCCAACAGCGCGTACAATATATGTAGAAACTCGCGCCAAATGTTGCGGTTGAAAGTGAAAGGGCTCAAGTTTGGTTGTAAATTATTATTTGGTTTTTCTATCGAGACCTTCTCGCTCGTCGCAGGGTCAAGGTTGCATTTTTTTTATTTTGTATGCCGTGAGAGATCGAGCGTTACGTACCTGAGTGGGACTGTGTTCACGGAAGAATGATAACCATTGCGCGAAATTCACAGACGGCCCGTAATTGGGATTCTAAAAGGTTCAGCATGAGCAAAAGAGCCTACAGAGCCATTTCTTTAATGCTTGCGCAAAAAAATGCTATTGAATTGAAATTTCTCTCTCAAAGCAAGTTAAAATAATAAATAATATTTGAAAATCAGATTTCCTCTAAAATTTCAAGTATATTCTGCAATTTATTTGACATTCATTTTAATAATTCCCTTAAATATGGAACTAAATATTATTTCTCGTTCCTCTTAAAAAGGGTTTAGTTCGACTTTCAGTTCAACAAAATTGCGTAAAATGAGAGAAATTTTATCAAGTTTTTAAATTTTAGCTTCTGAAAAAATATTAAAAAGTTAGATTAATTTTACGATAATTTAAAAAATTTAAAACTAGATAAAATTAATTTTGTTAATTGATTTCATGAAATCAAGTCTTAAGTCTTTACACTGACACTTTTTTGGCGTGAATTTATTTCAACTCCAATATGAAACTTGAGCCAGAAAAAAACAGTCAATAATTTTCTTTATATTCAACCGAACAACTTTCTAGTGAAGATGGCAGGGAATTCCACTGATTTGCAAATCGCAATGGAAAAATTTGCCATCCACGCCATTTATGACTCATCTTTAGGAAAAATTCAACCATGCAATTGAATTTTAGAGCAAAAACCTCTGTGGTGTCTGCATATAATAAATTTATATTTAGCCGAAAATTATACCTTCTCCAAACGTCAAACAGGAAAATTATACGCTTTTGTTGCTGAGTTGGTATTTTATTAGAGAACAATAATAGACGATACCTGGGCCGCGGGTTGCGTCATCGGCGCTTCATATATAATAACATTCATCTAGCCACCAAGGCCAATCTTCCAGCCTCAAAACCGTTGATGAAATTCACTCACGATTGTTTCTCACTTTCCCGTCGAATAAATTGATTCGCCATAAACACCTGCCCGCGTAAACTGGTAGTTTATTTTTCGTCCCGTTGACCTAATTTGCAGGCGTGTCTATTTAATTTAATTTAATCAGCATTAATTATTGAAAACAGTTTGCTTTGGCACGTAGCTCGTCTTAATAAATCTTCCTGCCTGTCTGCCGCCAGTTTTTTCCCTTCATCTCTCCGAGAGGAAAAAAGTGAATTATTTTTAGTCATAAGAAAAGCGACAGCAGTGAGTGGGACACAAAAAGACCGCAGGCTTAATGACTCGGTCGTCAATCGAAGGGCGCGCTTCTTTAATTTTTGAAAATATTGCCTCTCAAATGTGACAAGCTGAACGTGTTGGTTCCTTTCGGTAAAAAAAACCCTCATTAATCGACCCTAGACTATAATTTGGCCTTGTCCCAAAACTAAAAAATATTTTTTTTCTCAAAATATGTTTTTGAGAATTTTAGAGAATATTTTTTATAATAATAATTAAAGAGGACAAGTAAAACTCACTGTTCGCCTTAATTTGCATAAGCTGGTGTGTGGTTATTATTTTCTCGCTGGCTTTTCCCTGCCGCTTGATGCATCCAGCAAACACACTCAATTCCACGTAACAGGTGACACTTAATTGTTCTGTCAATAAACTCGCCAGCAGTTTAAGTGCGATGGAAAGATAAAAAGCTGATGGCAATGAGTTTATTTATCTGCGCTGCAAATCTACGTTCGTCGTGTCAAAAGTAATCAATAACTTTTTGACACAGTAATTTTTATTCACACATCAATTTTAAATTTATTTAAATATAAAAAAAAAATCAGGATAACAATATGGACATTTTAATTTTGAACAACAATTTAATAAAATTGTGAGAAATATTTTTAATAACATTATTTCCTGAAGAACGACATTAACTTCATCCAACTCAGCCAGACTATTCAAGATTTCAGTGTAAAACATCAAAGTGAGAAAGTCTTTTGTTAATTTCAGGCACATATTCACATTGTTGTGTGGCCGCGAAGAGCAATTAAGAGGATACAATCTGAAGTGCAAAAAGGTGCTCATTAAAACCGCAAAGCACCCGTTTCCGTACACAAACATCTCATATGAAACGAGTGTTGTTTTCGTTTCTTCCCTCAATTAAAAAGTTCGTCCTGTCTAATTTAATATTCCTTTGACTGCCATCCAAAATTGCGTCGGATATAATTCGCCGATAAAGTGGTCATTGTTCGACGTAACCAGAGGGAAAATTGACACAAAAATAGGGTAAGTGTCTGCCCCGTTGAAAAGTGGCAAATAATTAGATTGGGCCGAGAGGCGCCTTTGGTGCGACAGCCAGAGACAGGCAATCACTTTCATTAGCATCGTTAAAATTATACACAGCGCCGGGGCCAGAAACAGGATTCATTAGGGATGCCTCTCTTCACGCCGAGAGCAAGAGTTTTTTACATCATGACAGGCTCTCGTTCTAACAGATCTCCCAGAAGAAACAAACGTCAAAGCTAATGGCACCGAAAGTCCAAAACAATATTTATTTCTCTCAGCACGCTCCATTAATATGCCAATACAAACCACCCCTGGAGCTCAAAGCGTTCAGAGCTGTCAATATTCGGACGTATTCTTGCATCATTCATTCATCTAAATAATGTATTGAAAGGGTTAAAAAATAATTATATTGATTCAAAGCCGAACAGATGAAATTCTAAATATTG